AGACTTGGAACCAGCCCAAATGCCCATCAATGGAAGACTGGATAAAGAAAATGTGGCACATACACACCATGGAATACTATGCAGCTGTAAAAAAGGACATAGATGAAGCTGGGACATCCATGCAGGGACATAGATGAAGCTGGAAATCATCATTCTCAGCAAACTGACACCAGCACAGAAAACCAAACACCACATGTTCTCACTCATGAGTGGGTGTTGAACAATGAGAACACATGGACATAGGGAGAGGAACATCATACACCCGGGCCTTTTGGGGGTAGGGAGGCTAAGGGAGGGATAGCAGGGGGTAGGGGGATTGGGGAGGGATAACATTAGGAGAAATACCTAATGTAGGTGACGGGGGGATGGATGCAACAAAACACCATAGCATGTGTATACCTATGTAACAGTCCTGCACAATCTACACATGTACCCCAGAACTTAAAAGTATAATAAAAAAAAATGCAATAGCTATAATGAAAAATTTTAACCCATAATCCTACCATGTTAATAACTTGAAGAGGAGGATTTTTTTAAATGTCTTTTTCAGACTTTTTCTTCCCAATACGTAGACTTTTTTTAACTTAAAAAATAAAATTGTTGTATATATTGGTTTGTAATTTCCCTTTTTTGGTAGTAACTTGTTATGACTACCTCTTCATGTGAATTAATGCTTCCCTATACAACCCTGTCAGTTTAGAGGCTATATGGCATTCCATTGTATGGCTGGACCATAATGTATTTTGTTAAGCTCCTTATTTTATTTAATTTTAATTTTATTTATTTATTTTTTCAAAAGTTTTGCTCTTGTTGCTCAGGCTGGAGTGCAGTGGCATGATCTTGGCTCACTGCAACCTCCTTCTCCCAAATTCAAGCAATTCTTCTGCCTCAGCCTCACAAGTAGCTGGGATTACAGGCATGCGCCACCATACCCGGCTAATTTTTTTTTGTATTTCTAGAAGAGACGGGTTTTCACCATGTTGGTCAGGCTGGTCTCGAACTCCTGACCTCATGTGATCCACCGCCTTGGTATCCCAAAGTGCTGGGATTACAGGCGTGAACCACTGTGCCCAACCCCTAATTTTAGAAACTTAGATTCAAGTTAGATGTTGAAGTGGGAGACTTCAACATCAATATCAGACAGATCAATGAGACAGAAAGTTAACATTGATATCCAAGACTTGAACTCAGATCGGGAACAAGTAGACTTAATTAATATTTATAGGACTCTCCACTTTAAATATACAAAATATACACTTTTATCAGTACCACATCACACCTATTTACAGGTTTAAATGAAATATTGGTTGGCTGCTTGTTAGTTATTTTCTTCCCTCATTTTTTTTTCCATGTCTCTATTATTAAACACAATTACAGGCATGCCCATTTTTAGACTGCATTCTAGCCTGGGCAATAAAGCAACACCCCAGTTCTCTCTCCCTCTCCCTCTTCCTCATTCTTCCTCTCCTTCATTTTTTCTTTTTTTTTTTTATTCTTTCTCTTTCTTCCTTTCTCTTTCTTTAAAGAAAAAAGAAAAAAAGAAACAGATTCATTCCTAATTTTTGTTGTTAATATAAAAACATTTATTCCTATTTTCTTAGGTAAATTTCTCAACCTGTAGTCACTGGAGCAAAATATTTCTTAAGTTTTTATAGCACAGTATTTTGAAATCCAGACCACCTTTTCTGTGTGTGTTCCATCTAAGCAGTTACCATGCTGAGCTGTGTCAGCTGTCTTACCTGCCTCCCCTGCCAGATGATGGGCTCTTAGGGACCAGGATTATTTCTTGTGCATTTTATTTCTCAGAACCTGCCATGGTGCCTGGGACCTGGTAGGCTTATAGAGATGAAAATCAAAACTAGCACTTACTAAGTGTTTCCCAAGATCCAGGGTACAGTGACACCAAAGAGGAATGTTACCACCATTCCTGTTTCACAAACATAAAAACTTGGGCTTAGAGAGGTAAATATCAGAACTATGCAGCTCATTATGTCACAGGACAAGTATTTGTTGAAGGAAGATGTCAATTCAGGAATATTGGTTCTATGGAATAAAAGTAACTCTGCAAACCTGTTGGTCATTGTCACTAATTACAACATAGTATGTTTGAAGAACTTATTATTTTGTTTGACTTAGAGATGTTGATTTTGCACACATTGATATTCAGTGTCCCATGTTTTAGATTTCTAGATTTCTCCTAATAACTTATTCCTTTATGAGCTCTGTAGGGGTGATAAAGTAATGTCCCCCATATTCTTGCATCATCAGCTTTTTTTTTTTTTTTTTTTTTTGAGGTGGAGTTTTGGTCTGTCACTCAGGCTGGAGTGCAGTGGCATGATCTCAGCTTACTACAACCTCCACCTCCTGGGTTCAAGTGATTCTCTTGCCTCAGCCTCCCGAGTAGCCAGGACTACAGGCAGGTGCCACCAGCCTGGCTAATTTTTTTGTGTTTGTATCAGAGATGTTTTCACCATGTTGGTCAGGCTAGTCTCAAACTCCTGACCTGAGGTGATCTGTCCACCTCAACCTCCCAAAAGTGCTGGGATTACAGGCATGAGCCACCGCACCCAGCCCTATCACCAGCTTCTTTGCCTAATACAAAAGTTCAAATGCTTGACTAGGTATTAGAAGCACATGAAAGACTCATTAAAGCACAGCTTGTGCACTCCCACCCTGAGTTTCTGATCCAACAAAGTAGAAGAGGCCTGAGAATTTGAATTTCTAACACTATCTTTGGTGAGACTGCTGCTGCTCGCCCAGAGACCTATTTTGAGAACCATTTAGATTCTAGTGGACTGTTGTACCCTATTTATACTGTTGTACTCTCTTCTGCTCCAGGTCCCCTCCCCATCTTTTTGGTCTGTTCTGAAGGCACAATCTATCTATACCACCATGTATGAAGAGAGATTCCTTGCTATAATCAGATCCTTCTCTTGGGGGCCTCGTGGCCAGCAGTTTGACTCAGTGAGGCAAGAAATGCTCTGAACTGGGACTAATATACCTTGGCTTCTAGATGCAGCTCTACCTGACTTCATAGGACCCCAAGCAAGCCCCTGCTTATGCCTCTTCACTACACAGAGAGAGTGGGATGGCTTCAATCCCTAAGGACCCCAGGTCTCAGACTTTCTGTTTCTTCTGAAATGTATATTCAAGCAATTCACTCATCCCTGCCCTAGCCATGTAGCAAACCACTATTAAAAAGGCCATATTTATAGATCTGTCCTCATGTTCTAGTCATCAGACTTCAGAGGGCCTAACTGCCCTCAATGAATTTACTAATTCAGTTATTCTTTTATTATTTCTTTGCCTTAGGATTCTTTGTCCTCTGTGGAGTGAGAAAGGTTTCTGTTTGTAGCACATTATTTCATGCAGCCACGCTGTGGCTTTTTTGTTTATGTGAAATACTAGGGCTGGGCGCGGTGGCTCACGCCTGTAATCCCAGCACTTTGGGAGGCCAAGGCGGGTGGATCACGAGGTCAAGAGATTGAGACCATCCTGGTCAACATGGTGAAACCCCGTCTCTACTAAAACTACAAAAAATTAGCTGGGCATGGTGACGCGTGCCTGTAATCCCAGCTACTCAGGAGGCTGAGGCAGGAGAATTGCCTGAACCCGGGAGGCGGAGGTTGCGGTGAGCCGAGATCGCGCCATTGCACTCCAGCCTGGGTAACAAGAGCGAAACTCCGTCTCAAAAAAAAAAGAAAGAAATACTAAATAAATAATATCACAGTTCCACAGTTGAAAGGTTAATAAAGGGGCTGTGTGTGGTAGTTCATGCCTAGAATCCCAACACTTTGGGAGTGGATAAGGGTGGATCACCTGGGGTCAGGAGTTTAAGACCAGCCAGGGCAACATGGTGAAACCACATCTCTACTAAAAATTAAAAAAATTAAAAAAATTAGCCGGGCATGGTGGTGCACGCTTATAATCCCAGCTACTCAGGAGGCTGAGTCAGGAGAATTGCTTGAGGTTTCAGTGAACCAAGATTGCACCTGTGCACTGCAGCCTGGGTGACAGAATGAGACTCTGTCTCAAAATAAGTAAATAAATAAAGGTTAATAAAGGATTAAAACAATTTTATATCATACCACTTACAACCAGTTTCTCACCTCAGAGTAATTCCAGTGAGGCCTATTAGAAAAGTGGCTGAGATCAGGATAAATAGCCAATGCATCTGGGGCTTAATACCTAGGTGATGGGTTGATAGGTGCAGCAAACCACCATGGCACATGTTTACCCACGTAACAAACCTGGCACAGGTATCCAACAGTTAATCAACAAACAATCCAGCACAGGTATCCCCAGAACTTAAAAGAAAAAAGAGGAGTGACTGAGTACTGCTGAATGCTCTTGCAAATCCACAGGGGGGAACAAATGTAGCCATGCTCCTTATGATTTAGGTATCCAGTAACAAATGCAGGGGCCCAGAGATGGTCCAGTGATAGGAACAGCAGCTGCGAGGGCTCTAGGTTCTGTGGGTACAAACAGTGGAGCCTGTTATCCTGAAGGAAAATCTCTGGAGGAAACACTCAGATCTCATTCAGCTCCATTTAATGCCACCCATTAGGGTGAGGACAAAGCTACCCACAAAGCACCCTTTTTGACTGGCTGACTAAAGGGTAAGGTTCTAATCAAACATATTTTATGCATACAAATTCTTTTGAATTAATATTTTAAAGGGGAAAAAAATCTGAAAAGGCCTTTTTTGAATCCAAAATACTTTTCTTTTGAGGGAATCCTTGCCTTTTGCCCTTAGATTGGAAAGAGTACCTGAGACTTTTAAATCTTACCTCTTATTCAGATCACTAAATTGGAAGGCCTTCTTCATTTAGGGAGGCAGAGTGGTTTCTTGTGCTATAGGTAAGATATTATCTTCCCTGGGATTTCTTTGGAGCAAGGACAGAATCAGTTTCCCACCATCTTCACCTACCACAGGAACTGGATTTCTGATTTTTCCTCAGAGATTATCTCAGGTTCATGAAGTCTCTGCTTCCTTCTAGGTGGAGGCCGAGTTGATTGACAAGCTGGACAGCATGGTGTCAGAAGGGAAAGGTGACGAGAGCTACAGGGAGCTCTTCAGCCTACTGTAAGCTGCTCCAGCCCCAGGCGCATCACACTGGGGGATGGGGTGAAGTGGGCCAATGAAAAGTAGAGGTTGCAACTGCACTGGCAGGCTTTAGAGGTTGGTTATCAAGAAAGACCTGGGTTGTTCCTGATGGTAGCAATGCTCAACTTCTGTCAACAAGAAAGCAGGCTCTTTCAGGGATTCCCATAGTTGACTGAAAAGATAGAGAACAGGTAATCTCCAAGCTCCTAGATTTTCTAACAGGAAAAGGATCATTGTATGTCTTCATAGCATGCACTGCAATCTGGATGGGCAGACAGTTCATGGCAATTCATTTCTGGGCTCAATGCTGGCATTTCAAGGTAGGGGATAAATCCTCCTTTGAAAGACAGGCTTCTATTTGTCCTGCTTTGTAAGATAGTAAAATCAGCTTGAAAAACATTGCAGTGAGCTCTTGATTAAGCTGCAACACTCTTTCCAGGCCAGTTTTCATGCTTGTGGAATGAGATGGTTGTACTGAATTATGTCAGGGTTCTTCTGGGTCCTCCATTCCATGGTTTCTGGCTTGAGCTGATGGAGGCCAAGAGACCCAAAGAGAGACCCAGGGGAACTATGGCCCTCCCAAGCAGACAGTGATGTTGCTATTTTATCTTCCTAAAAAATGAAATCATAAGATATTTACAGTTCTAGAGTACCCTCCTCATCTTATTTATCATTTCCAACTTTGAAATGTTCTTTGCTCTAGTACCATTTTGAAGACAAACCTGTAGCATATTTTTCAGTAATAATACTATACATTTGCTTAGAACTTTCCAGTGTACAAAATGTATTGGCATTTCTTACCTTATTTGATCCTCACAACATATGTTCAAGGTGTACAGAGTAGAAATTATCTTCCGTCCCACTTGAGAGGTAAAGAACGTGGCTCAGGGAAGTGCCAGCATGCCCTCAGTTGCGTTATCAGTAAGACATAGCTCTGGAAGGAGGGCCCAGATCTTCCAATTTCAAGATGGGGAAGTCTTTCCACCATACCATGCCATTTGTTCCTTGAGGAGTCATGAGGTAAAATGTAAATTTATTTTAAATTTAAATAATTATAATTTGTAAAAATGAATCCATCCTTTAGTATTTCTTTTTTCGCCAAAGATTTTTCTAATTGTGGAAACAAGGGAGTGAAATCTCTTCCTTGGCCACTAACAAATGACTACTACAAAGGAAAAAGCATAAAAATAAGCTGCAATTACTAATTACCCGACCAAATCATGTTTATAAGCTCTTTTAAAATCAGTCTAAGAACTGTGAACCACTGATAATATGGAGCAGCATTTTCCAATGTGTGCTTTCAGATGTTTGTAGGTATGCTATATAAAACAAAAAGTAAATCATGAGTTAGTTAGTTTAGAAAAGATTCAACTAATCAAAATTGAACAAGCCTCTTTATTGTAGGACTTCTCAAAGCCTTTGTTGGCAGAGGGATACGAGCTGGGTGCAGTGGTACACACCTGTAATCCCAGCTACTTGGGAGGCTAAGGTGGGAGGATTGCTTGAGCCCAGGAGTTTGACACTACCCTGAGCAACATAGCAAAACCCCATCTAAAAAAAAAAAAAAAAAGGATATGAAAAATCTCCAAAAGGAGGGTATAGTGATCAGCATTTCCCAATTTCTCGTGCTTATGTGCTCCCAGAACATTTCCACCTGTCCTCTAGGACAGAGACCTCTGTAGGACACAATTGAAAAATGCTGGTACATTTCTCAATGGACAAAGCCACAGAAGTCAGACTCAATGTTCTTACCTTCTCTAACAGCAGGAGTCACCTGGAAAACCCTCATTTTCCCAGAAGCCTGGCCTAGGCAGTATGCTCTGTGCAGGGAGACAGTCATCATCATAGCAGCAGCATTAACAGCAGCCAGGCTGTGGCTTTCACTTCCCAGTTCTAGACCCCTAGCTGGGTCTACCACTCCAGGAGACTCTTATGACCTTAGAAAGCAAGGAACAGTGTGGAAAGCAATCAAGAATAGAGTAGTATGGAGTGAAGACTAGACCTGGGCTCATCACTGGAACAAGCAGAAAGAGTTCAAGTCATTGTCTCCTAGAAGAGACCTATGGGATGGCAGAGGATCTCAGAAGCCAGGCTTTTGGAGAAGCCAGGGGCTGCCCTGACAAACCAGGAGCATGGGTTTGTCAAGTAAGAAAAGAACCTGGGCATTTAGCTCCTGGCACATTTTGCTTGGGAGCATTCCCTGTGACAGTAGGATGGCCAAGTATAGCTCTTGGTCTTGCTCACTTTTTCTTCTGTTGGGGCCCCAAGACTAGTGGGAATCTTTCCCTTAGTTTCCATGAAGATTATTGCTTTAGGCTGGGCACAGTGTCTCATGCCCATAATCTAGGCACTTTAGAGGCTACAGCAGGAGAATCGCTTGAGGCTGGGAGTTCAAGGCCAGACTGGGCCACATAGCAAGACCCCATCTTTAAAAAGAAAAAGAAGACAGCAGGGGGTGGGGAGTTGAGGAGAGATAGCATGGGGAGAAATGCTAGATATAGGTGATGGGGAGGAAGGCAGCACATCACACTGCCATGTGTATACCTATGCAACAATCTTACATGTTCTTCACATGTACCCCAAAACCTAAAATGCAATAAGAAAAAATTGGAGAAAAAAAAATAAAATTATATTAATATTTTCAAAAAAAATTATGCTAGTTGTCAGATAGGGTTTGATATCTGAACAAAGAGAAGTTGTTTAGGTGATAATAATTCAATGAACTGGTGGTTAAGAAGCAAAAGAAATAAAAGTAGAAGGGCAAATGAAAAAAAAAGAAAAATTAAAATTTTGAAAAACAGATTGGTTTGTACGTTTGCTGAGGATGGCTCTGAGCAATGATAAAGGCAGCCAGCCATTGGCAAAGCCAGGCTTATCCCTCAGTGGGCTCTTCTTCAACTACTTGTTCAGTACATACCTCACAGTATATGCCTAAGGTAGCTGGGGCCAAACCCCTCTTCCCCTCCACCTCAGTGGCATCCTGAGGAACTTGTACATGGAAATAGGAGATGTTTTCATTTGTGCTACCAGTTCAGTAACCTCCTTGTCTTTGCTTTCTGCTGCATGGAGTAGAACCCAGCTGTTTGGGCCCTACCCCAGGTAAGACTGCAGTGTGGTAAGTCTGCTGTCTTACCACAGATCCATCACAGCCTCCATGGGCTCTTGGACTTTACTCTTGTGCCCAGAGGAAGGCTCATGAATTGTGTTTTCTTCCCCCACCCCTCCACCAATAGCCTGCTGGAGAAGGTTGAACAAGAAACATGGCGCGAAACCGGCATTTCCTTTGTGACCTCAGTCACCCGCCTCATGGAACGTCTTCTTGACTACAGGTATCTTCTCAGCCACCTGCCCACCTCTTCTCTTTTCAGGATACTCTCTTTAGCAAGGGAATCCCCCTGACCTGAAAACTGAGACCACATACCTTTCGTGAGGCGGACTGTTGTGATGCTGGGTGCCGTCACCAGTCAATAGGAGTCTGCTGATGACCAAGGAGAGACAGACAGATTTTTCCCAAGGGTAGGCTAGGGCCTCCTGGGATTCCCCACTGTAATATGGGAACACTTACCCAGGAGGCATCTCGGGGACATATAGTCATCTGGCTTTCCATCCAGAAAAATCAAGGCTCAGAGAAATGGGCACAGCAAGATGTAAGAGTAAAGCTATCTTCAGAGCAGGACAGGGAACAGCTGTAGGTCTTTAGTGCAGCCCTTTCTCAGAACCATATGGCAGATAAGCAGAGATGTATCACCTGGAAGTGAAGTTGGCCATTCCAGGGACTAGGGACCCCAACTTTTCAATGCCTATATTCTTTGTTTAAAGTCTCTATTTCTGTCCCCTGGTCATTGCTAGAATAGATTAAAGGAAACAGCCTGTGAGCTCAGAGATCTTCATATTATGTTCAGTCTGGGAGTTCATATGGAATTAGAATTTTTTGTTTTCTTTTCTTTTTCTTTTCTTTTTTTCTTTTTTTTGAAACGGAGTCTCGCTCTGTTGCCAGGCTGGAGTGCAGTGACACAATTTTGGCTCACTGCAGCTTCCACCTCCCGGGTTTAAGTGATTCTCCTGCCTCAGCCTCCCGAGTAGTGGGGACTACAGGCACATGCCACCACACCCAGCTAATTTTTATATTTTTAGTAGAGACGGGGTTCCGCCAGGTTGGCCAGGATGAGCTCGATCTCTTGACCTCATGATCTGCCTGCCTCAGCCTCCCAAAGTACTGGGATTATAGGTGTGAGCTACTGTGCCCAACCTCTTTTTCCTTTTTCTTTTCTTTTTTTTTTTTTTTTTTTTCCTAAGACAGTCTTGCCATGTCACCCAGTCTGGAGTGCAGTCATGGCTCACTGTAGTCTCGAAGTCCTAGGCTCAAGCGGTCCTCCCACCTCAGCCTCCCGAGTAGCTGTGGCTACAAACACACATCACCATGCCCAGCTAGTTTTTTGTTTGGTTTTTGTTTTTTGTTTTTGTAGAGATAGGGTCCCACTGTGTTGCCCAGGCTGGTCTCAAATTCCTGGGCTCAAGTGATCCTCCTGCCTCGACCTCCCAAATTGCTGAGCTTACAGGGCTGAGCTGCTGCACCCAGTCAGAATTAGAATTTTTTAGTGAAAGTCTGCCTTCTCAGTTGTATCATGGCTTTTGAATTACTCCAAACTTGACAGTGAAACCAGAACTGCAGCCTTAATCATTCTCTCAGCAGGGTTCAGGTGATGGCTAAGGGTGCCTTTTGGAAGCCTGGAGAACGATGAGGAGAAATGATAAATGAAACCCAGCTCCATGTAATAGTTGCCTTCTCGGTGCAATAAGCTGTGCAAATGCCAAACGAGGGGAGCATTTTTAGCTTATGGATCAGGAAATGGGAGAGTTAAGCCTGCCTCTAGTTGCTGCTAAAGTAGAAGATGCTGCTATATAAAAGACTCAGGTTTTCAATGCACTGGCCTGGATATGGAAATGGAATTCCTGAGAAATGTGCTCACGTCTTAGGCATCCACTCTTTCTGTGGCACAGCTATGCTTGTGTGAACTTCAGCCCGTTTTTCCTGGGCCTTTCAAGTGCAAAGCTGGCCTTGGGGCCCCTTTAACAACAGGAGAATTCTTTGTTCACACCTGGTCCCTAGCTTTTCCTACAGCTGCAATTCGACAGGGAAGAGAGGTGGGCAAATCTCTGCACCTCCTCCTCACCAAAACATTTTCTAAAGTTTGGCTTTATTCACCATGGCCTAACAGAAGGAGCAGAAATTAATTTCCTGGGCTCCAGTGCCTTGTTCTAGCTGCCTGTTTGATTTCTTTAGCCACCCTCTACAAGCAGCTCAAACTCATGCCCCAAACCAACTTGATTCTCTATTTTTTGTCTCAGTGGTGGTAACTACAAAAAATCCATAGTCTTTAATATGGCATCACTGACCTTTGCTCACTTCTCCAGACCTATCTTCTGCTAGTTCCCATGGTACTTATACCCTACACCCCAGCCTCCCAATGTTGCTCCTTGCTAATGTGAAAGGAAACAGCATGATGTTTATGATGGCACCTGTCTATTGAAAATCTACCACATGAGTGCTCCTGCATACATTGTCTCCAATCCCATAAGCATCCTCACGTTTTTTATCCACGAGGAGACAGCTAAGAAGTACCACTGTGAGAATTTGAAGCCAGATCTAGCTGACTCAAGAACCATGCCCTATCTCTTTGTCCGTGTTGTCACCACTTAACCACTTGTATTTTCCCTTCAGGTTTCTCTATATGCTGTGTACTCTCCCAACAGTGGTCTTCCAGCTCACCCCTATCAAGGAAGCTTTCCCAAGCCAAGAGCTTACCTTTCTGTGCACACAATGAATAATGATCATTTATCATCTTTCTATCTTACCTTACAAAAGAGGGCTAGCTCCTTGAGGATAGGAACCTTGTTTTTATCTCCCTGTTCCTCTGTTTGGGGGCTGGCTCCTGGCAGATGCATAGTGAATAATGAGTGATAAAACTTGTTGGAGAGACCATGCAGAAACCAAGCAACTCTTTTCCTCTACCTCAATGCAGTTAGTTCAAGAACTTACTAATTAAAGAGTTGTTGGCTGGGCACGGTGGCACCTGCCTGTAATCCCAGCACTGTGGAAGACTGAAGCAGGCAAATTGCTTGAGCTCAGGAGTTCAAGACCAGCCTGGGCAACTTGGCGAAACCCCATCTCTAGAAAAAATTGCAAAAATAGCTGAGTGTGTTGGTGTGCACCTGTGGTCCCATCTACTTTAGAGGCTGCAGTGGGCGAATTGCTTTAGCCAGGGAGGTTGAGGCTGCAGTGAGCTGAGATTGTGCCACTGTACTCCAGCCTGGGTGACAAAGTGACACCCTGTCTCAAAAAAGAAAAGAAAATAGTTGTTGATATGACTCAAGGAAAGGACATCAAAAAGGAAAAAATAATTGTTCAAAGTTTTAAAGTATATACATTGAGGCCAGGCACGGTGGTTCACGCCTGTAATCCTAGCACTTTGGGAGACAAAGGCAGGCAGATCACCTGAGGTCAGGAGTTCAAGACCAGCCTGGCCAACATGGTGAAACCCTGTTGCTACTAAAAATACAAAATAGCCAGGCGTGGTGGTACACATCTGTAGTCACAGCTACTCAGGAGGCTGAGGCAGGAGTATCGCTTCAACACAGGAGGTGGAGGTTGCAGTGAGCCAAGATTGTGCCACTGTACTCCAGCCTGGGCAACAGAGCCAGACTCTGTCTAAAATAAAATAAATAAATAAATAAATATGCAAACACACACACACACACACACACACATTGATTAAATAAATAATCAATAGATTTTACTCTAGAATTACCTGAACCTGTCACATAAGACTCAATTTTAGATTGGCAAAACTTTAGATACTCGAATGAATACCTCTTCAACTTTTATATCAATGTCTTTAACTTTTGTGTGAATCTCAGACACTCTGTCAGATATGAAGATGCTCGTTGGTAGTAACTATATTTCCCAGGTTAGGAAGCAGAGGTCTCGAAGGGTTTTGTTTGTGCCTGGAACAGACAGGAACAGAGCTAGAGTTGCCAAGCCTTCGCAGCTCAAAAGTAGAACCTCTACCTGGAATGGGCGACTGAGGGTTATGAAGCCTGCGTTTCCCAGGCCCCTCTGGTTGCAGTGAGGGCCACCTGGTCACTGATGTAATCTCCAGCCAGCCCACTACCCAGGTGAGCCAGATGCTTCAGATGCTTCTTTCAGGAGTCTTTCCTGCTCACCCTTCAGAGAAAGAGCAAGAGGGAAAGCAACAGCTGCACCTAAGTCAGACTTTAAAAGACATCCACCATGAAGTAGCCACACAGAAGTGATGCAGAGCTACACAAAAGAGTCTGCTGTTAGCAGTACAGAGGAGAGGCAGTCATAGAGCACAGAAGTGTGTAGAATGCCCCTGATATCACAGTGTTAAGGCCAGTCCCTTTCTGTTTAATGGACTTAGCTGTGAAGTTCTGGTTATTAACAGAAGTTAGTGCTTGGTAAACATTTCAGATGCTTTATGGAAAATACAAATCACTAAATGCCAAAGTGGCTAGATAAGGTCTTACTTCCCTTCATGGGGCCAACTCACTGGGGAAACAAGATGCCTTCTACCATTGTTTGGGTTGCTTGGAAAAACTTGACCATCTGACCTCAGGCTCACTCCTCTTGAAAAGTCAAGCAGCTTCCTGGCCCTGCTAGCACTAAAGGGACAGGTTCTGCAGAGGGATGTTCAAGACCCACATGTCTGGCTACATAGGAACCAAATGTCTTATGTGGTAAATGTGTTGATAGGTCAACCACTCCCAGAAAGGAGGGCCTTGGTTTCAAACCTCACAAACCTGTCAACTCTGACAGGAGACTTCCACAGAAAGGACATTTGGCTTTGCAGAATTCTGTGAGAGGAGTATGGATTTTCAACATTCCTTTCTTTCAGAGAAGTCACCTCAGGGTTATTCCTCTGCATGATGGGAAGGTGGGGAGGACTAGGTTTGTCACATGACCATCCAGAAGCTCAGTGACTTCGCCTAGGGCCCCTGTCTCTCAGCTGTACTGCTCTTCACTGGACCCTGTGCCTGTCAGTGGAGCAAAGCCAAAGACACTCTCCAACCTTACCCTAGAAATCTATATAAACCCCTTTCTACAGCTTTTCCCCAGAGCTGCTAATATATAGCTGCACAAGAAATTAGATCTTCAGAGCAGTGTGGGCTGCTATGGAAGAAGATACATCAGGCAGATGGCACTCTGGCTGACTGTGTGCATAGGAGATTTCTTGCTGGATTCACCAGTCTGGTTCTCATTCCCCTTTATCTCCTTGTGCTAGGCTTCTGCTCCTTTCCAGAGGGCCTTGGCTTTGATACCAACCCTCTCCCTATCTTGGAAAGGATACATTCTCAATGTTCCTATTGTCCTGTCTCTCACAGGTCATCCCTGACCCCTCCTACACCCAAAGTCTGCTAGGTACGAATGCAGCTCAGTACTGGCTGACACTTTAAGCACAAGACCTGGGCTGCTTCTGGTGAGAGATGGTTCCAAAGACTAGCACACAGGAAGGAAACTGTAGGGAGAAGTGTCAACTAGGTGGTGAACATGTACAGAGCCCTGAAGCTAGGGCCCCGAGGTGGAGGGTCTTGGCTTCTATTTAGCACTCCTACAAAATGAAACCTACCCTTTAAGGAGAATTCTGTTCCTCCCTTTATGGGAAATTGAGGATTTGTGCCAAAGACATTGGTAGGTACCACTTAATACCCTGATATAGCTCTGGGCTCTCTCTGTACTCTGCCACCAGAATAAGAGGTTCAGTTGAACAAAAATCTTTGAGCTCTGAGAGTGTGTCCAAAGCTGAAGGAGCTCACAGTAGAGTCCTTATCTATGGAAGCAGTTCCTGTTGGAGGATATCTCATTCTGGGATTTGGTCATCCTAATGCCCCAGTAATACTACAGTTCTGTGTGTTGTCCCAAGGCCACCACTTAATATCTGGTACTCATCTGTGCTCTCTCTTCCAGGGACTGCATGAAAGGAGAGGAAACAGAGAATAAGAAGATTGGCTGCACTGTTAACCTGATGGTGAGAGGACATGGGCCCTGCCTTCTCTCTGCCTACTGAAATGGTTTCTGTCCTGCACTGTGATTGGCTTGGCCCTGCACCTCCCCAAACACATTCCTACTTGGGGAAGGAATGAAATGAGCTTCTCTTTGGACAGAACTCTAGCCTGACCTCTTGGCAAGGACCCACCAACCCTGATATACCCCAATTCACAGTCAGCCCTGACTCCTGATCTGCCCTGTTGCTTTTCATTTTTCACACCACCCAGGGCTCCCATAGACCTACCTGTGGTTCCACCCACAGCAGGTATTCCTTCTGGCTGGTGCATTCTCTTTCTGGTGCTATCTGCCTCCAGGGCCTGCCGTCCCCCTCCTGCCCAGCACACCCATGGCTTTCGCCAGCTGCCCAGAGCTTGGCTATGGCTTCCACAGGTAGTTTACTCTCTCATCTTCATGTGTGTTTCCTTCTCTTTATTATAGAATTTTTACAAATCTGAGATTAACAAGGAAGAAATGTATATCCGCTACATCCATAAGCTTTGTGACATGCATTTGCAGGCCGAAAACTACACAGGTAAGTGGGGAGAGGAGAGAGCCATGTCTGACCATGAGGACAAACTGAAGGGATTTGTACAACTGGCAGAGAAAGGCTTCAGGCTGGTGCCTGCCAGATCTCAGCAGAATGTTGGGGTTTGTGCTATCCCCTCACCTCATTCCTTTGCCTCAACTCCTTTGTGGCACGTGGTGGAAAGAAGGCAGGCAGAACTTCCACTTGTGCGTTTATGCCATGTCCTCCACTACTTGAAGATGTTTCACTCTCCTTTCCTACTATCCACTCCTCTGTAGTCTCTAGGGTGACCTCAAAACTCTGGTGCACCAGGTTCATAGCGTCCTGAGCTGTCATTCCTTATGAACAGAGAGCCTTTTTTAGGACTTTCAAAGCTGGAGCTAAGGCTACAACAAAGGAATATCTACCTAACTCTGGAACTTCCAGAACTCACTAGCAACCTTCTTTGCAGGGTAGGCTGTTCAGACCCTGCAACTGCATAGCAGCCTCACCTTGAGCTCTCAATGTAGAGCATGAAGAGTGTTCATCTGACCTCTTGACAGGCCAGACAGGGCTCCTTTCATTGTATCTATAATTTAACAAGAAGGACTTTTCTAACTAGAACAAATTTAAAGCATTTCAAAGTGGCTGTCACAACTCTTTACTGAGAACCATGCTGAATTAGAAGGTTGTATGCATGCACATGTGTCCTGTCTGATTGCCTTATGCCAGCGTTCCCTGAAAAGAGCCATTTTTTCCACTGTGGTGACCAGCCATTATGTCTTAGCTCCTAGGCTATAGGACTTGAATTTGTGTGATAGACCAGGAAATTTAAGCTATTCTTGTCTGCAAACACCACTGCAATGAGATAGATTTGTAGAAACAGAGAATCCTCCTTCTTTATCTCTAGCTATTAGAAAGTGGTTGGCATAGATGCTGTCTTATCTGATAGCACAGCTTGGCAAGAATTAAATCTAAAATGACTGGGTTTTGAATCTTAAATTCAGCTGACTAATAAAATAAAATAAAATGACTGGGCTGAGTCTGCCATTCTCTGCATCCACTTGCACCCATGATCCCAGCAACCCTCTGAGAAGGCAGTGAAAAATACTTTGATAAATGTTATATGTCAGTAGAAGCATTTGCTAAACTCCTAGAGAACTGGGCCATGACTGAGAAGCTTGGTCAGGGATTTGAACAGAGAAAGAGTGCTAAGCCTTGTCTCTGACGGCTCAGGAATGACATCCAAAAAGAAAATAGGCAAGAAAGAAAGACTTTCCATGGTTTTCTAAGCTCCAGAGGGAGGGCCTGAGTTCCACAGGGCTTGTCCCTAGAGAGAAAAGGCTTCCTAATCCCATGAGGAGATGTGTACATCAGTTCCAGTGGCAAGGGCACAGGCAAAGAGGCAAAGATGAAGAGGAGCCTAAAGAGTGGACATAGGCAAGTGGGCCTAGCTAAAACTGGAAGTGGGTCAATAAATGGTTATAAATGAGATTCTTCATAGTCATAGGGAGTAGATTTGAGTAGGGGCTTGAAAGCCAAACAGAAGCACAGAAGCTAGAACTAACTAACTTGCCAGTAGGAGATGCCCACAAAAATGAACAAATAGAACAGAGAAAACTGTGTAATGAGGCCCCTGAGCAGTGGCTGTCATTCAGTGTGACTCATCTCTTGTAATGTCAGGAGCCATGGTATTTCACTGCTGTTGTTTTACCTAACCCTCTCTAATTGTTCCACACATAGAGTAAGATGTTGCCAGGCCTTCACCCTGGGTCCAGTATCAATTTAGGTTCCTCTGGTAATGGAGCCCTAAGAGCCAGCTCTGAGAAGGTTGGAAAGGAATCTGTAGTCAGTTGAGCAAAAAGGATCCCAAGAGCTCTCTCTGATGTGTCAACACTTACCAAAGCAAGGCAACCTGTGCACAGACTTTCCGGTAACTGAGCCATTTTTTATTATTTATCTGGAGCCCAGAACAGGTGACCAGGCCATGGAAGGAAGGGGTCTACCAGGATATTTGGCTCTTTCATGCTATGGACAAGGGTTATTGGCTTGCTAAGCAGCCCCACTGTGTCATCTTTGGTATCCAGTGTCCCTGACCTGGGCTGCACATGAGTTGTGCTGGCATTCTGCCCAGCATAGTCCTCTGACACCAGGCTCCTCCTGGGCCCCTGAGCAAGGGAAGCCCCTGGACCTCCGTGCTGCCTGTCTCCACAGAGGCTGCATTTACCCTGCTCCTTTACTGTGAGCTGCTGCAGTGGGAGGACCGGCCACTGCGGGAATTCCTCCACTACCCATCTCAGACAGAGTGGCAGCGGAAGGAGGGACTGTGCCGGAAGATCATTCACTACTTCAACAAAGGCAAGGTAGGTGTCAGTAGGCAAGCCTTTTAGCCTCTTAGCTTCTGCTGTGATGCATGGCATCTTGACACCATAGGGTTAACAGCAACTGCAGGGTGTGGTGTGTGGTGAGTGGGTGTGGTGAGTGCCTGTCTATGTGATGGTGGTGGTGTGTGGCGAGTGCCTATCTATGTGCCTGAGATTGGGAGGCAACATGATTTTCTCTGAAGGAGAAAAAGACAACAGCTTAATTCTGTGGCTTGAAAGCCATATCCACATTGTAGATGTTAGAGACCACCCCACATTCCAGCTTTGCATATCTATAAATACAAATGCTTCTATAGCAGGGGCTTCTGGAACCCTGTTTGTTTTTACTGGATTTACTTAAAGAACTGATACAGCTTTCTAATCTGCTGTCGTAGAAAATATGAGTGGTTGAGGCCAGGCGTGGTGTCTCACGCCCGTAATCTCGGCACTTTGGGAGGCCGAGGCAGGCGGATCATGAGGTCAAGAGATTGAGACTATCCTGGCCAACATGGTGATACCCTGTCTCTACTAAAAATACAAAAATTAGCCAGGCATGGTGGTGTGTGCCTGTAGTCCCAGCTACTCAGGAGGCTGAGGCAGGAGAACTGCTTGAACCCGGGAGGCAGAGGTTGCAGTGAGCCAAGATCATACCACTACACTCCAGCCTGGCGACAGAGCAAGATGCTGTCTCAAAAAAAAGAAAGAAAAGATAATATGAGTGGTAGAAATGAATGGATTTTAACCATAGCCAAAGGAGGGCTAAACTGCCTCTTACTGGTATGTGTTCTTTTTTTAGATTTCCCTTCCCTACAACACAGGCTGGGCTCCTCTCATATTGGGGTTATTCTCTATCAAAGGAGCTTCTATGGGATTGGCAGCATTGTTAGCACTGGTTTAGGTTTCCTTGGGGTTTCCCAGCCATTCTGCTCCCATCTCTGGAAGAGTTCTATGTGGGCTCGCCCTCTGATTACTTATTATTGAATGTGGCCCATGTGCTGGAAAAACTTGTTGAAGCCATTTTCTCATTACTAAGCTTTGAGCACATTTTAGAAAGCTGAAATAGGGTCATTCAGGGAACTGTTGTAGCTGAGCCCCTGACTTGAATGGAAATTGGTTTTTTGAGATGGATTTTTTTCATCAAAAAGAAAGATCTAACACTAATGGCTTTTGCCTATAAATCAGAAAACATTCTTCAGTTTTACATAACATGAGAGACTTCTGTGTTTGTCAAAAATATTCACTCAGAAAACATTTACCCATACAGAGAATGTACTGGTAAGCAAGAACCTTTCAAAAGCACAGAAACTCTTACGTAACCTATCCCAGAAAGGATGCCCATGCTCAGCTCTCAGCCAGCCCATGCGACTGATCCACGATGCTGACCCAAAGCCTCTGCTTCTTGCTGATCCAGGGCCTGACTTAGAGCCCCTCATGTGCAGTTTTAGACCTGCTTTCCTGGCACCTGGCTAACCTGGAGTGCCCCTCACCCACATGCCCAGCAAGCCCTGCTAGCTCAGAGGGAATGACATAAGCATGGTATGAGTATGCATGTGTGCTTTTAGTGCATTCATTCTCCTCATTTCTTTTCCATGGGCACAGAGTACAGAGTGGAGAGTTATCCTCTTCTGACTGAGTTTACCAGCGAGATGCATGAGCATCCCATCTTCATCCCACATTATAGTAGTCCATAGAAAAGCAGGATTAAACTTTAACATGGACTAGGGAGTAAAACACAAAGTGTGCCTGAGTACTATAGATGGACAAGAAGGACTAGGAGGCTCCATAGGCCACCTTCTTAGGAATCTCCTCACTTCTTCTGCAATCCTGCCTTCGCTATGAATTGCTAGAGGAGCAGAGTCTATGCTGAATAGAGACCACTCAGTGAGCCTTCTCATGAACTCATCCTCAAAGGGGCAGACATCAGACCCACTCTCTGAGGCTCACACAGAAGGCCTACCTTATCTGTTCCTGTGCCTCAGCTCCTGATGAAACCATTATTTGAGATTAACCAGTTGTTTTTGAAAATATTCAGGGTTTTCAGGAAGAAAACCGTGGCTCTAGAAAAGCAAAACCCAGATGCTGTGGGAGAAAAATGCTCCTGTAGGGCAGGGATGTTTGGCACCAAGAAAAAAGCCATCTTGGCAACGAGAGAAGGGCAAAGAAAGAAAGGAAGAACAGGGGGTGAGCTTCTAGCCCTCAGCACTGCCAGCACACCTGCCTCACAAGGCAAGCCCCTCCTGACTTTTATTCCACACACTACTCCAAGCGATGCCCCATGGGGACTGCTCATTTAGGTGATGATGGCCCTATGTAGGGCTAAAAACTCCCTGCCTGCTGACAGTAGCTTCCAGTGAAACAGATGTCCTCCATTGGGATCAAGTCTCATGTGTCTTCCTGGCATCTCTGCCCTAGTTTGTAACCCTGGTGCTCCAAGGCACTCACTCCGAGGCCTCTACTTCAATGATCTTTAGAATGAACAAGGACAAAGAGTAGTAGAAGAGAAGTGATTGGATTTTAGAGACTGGTAAGGCATTTTAGAGTAGCTTTACCTTCTGCCTGAAGGAGGGAAACCAAGGGAAAAAATGTAGATGGTGATGCATTACACCTGTAGTATATTCATTGCCTCTGTGCAAAGGCAACTCTCAAAGCCCCTAGACCCACCGTTATTCCAGTACATCCCTCAAAGCTGGCACATACTCTCTGGTGTCTGCCTTAGACAATACAGTTCCCCTTGGTCCCATGTTTATTTCCTGGGTACCCAAGAGGATTAGCCATGACTAATCACATGGCCATAGCCTAGCCCTGGGCCATTCTCTCCAATAGTGAAGTGGTTGACCTACAAACCTGCTATAACTTGGACTGGGCTCTGGGCCACAGAGCGTCAGCTCTCCCAGGCCAGACATGGAGAGAGAAAAACTCCAAAGAGACATGACGTGGCAGGGTGAGAGTTGAGAGAAGGAATGGGTGGTGTGAACATCGGAGCTGGTCCTTCATCTCTAGGTGGAGGGAGCAGACAGGAGGGGAAGCTGGACAGAGGCTAACAGGCCATCAGGGCTAGACCACCCTTCTTTGTGTGAGTGGGCTTGGGCTCTTCTACTTGAGGGTTTACCATGGTCCATTCTCATTTTAAAGGAATGACTGTTACTTTTAATATGTAATGTGTAAACAGAGGTACAAAGACTACCAGACTGGCGGCCCATGCCTTTCCCTTCCTTTGCCATTTGAGTAAAATGAGCCCTAAGTCAGTACAACTTTTTGTGCTGTTCCTGACAGGGATCAAAAAGGATGCATAAAAGCACATATCAGGCCAGGCAAGGTGGCTCATGTCTGTAATCCCAACACTTTGGGAGGCCAAGGCGGGAGGATCACTTGAGGTCGGGAGTTCAAGACCAGCCTGGCCAACATGGTGAAATCTTGTCTCTACTAAAAATACAAAAATTAGCCAGGCATGGTGGCACACACCTGTAGTCCCAGCTACTTGGGTGGCTGAGGCACGAGAATCACTTGAACCTGGGAGGCAGAGGTTGCAATGAGCCAAGATTGCACCACTGCACTCCAGCATGAGCGACAGAGTGAGACTCTGTCTCAAAACAAAACAAACAAAAGCACAAATCTGCAGAAGCTGGTAGAAGTGACTGGATTTCAGACACTGGTAGGGAGTTTTAGAGTTAGCTTTGCCTCCTGCTTGAAGGAGGGAAACCAGGGAGAAAGATGTAGATGGGGATGCATTGCACCTGTAGTGTATTTACTAGCTGTGCAGAGGCAGCTCTCAAAGCCCCCAGACCCACCAGTGTTCCAGCACACCTCTCAAGGTTTGCAGAGTGTCTTTAGAATTCTTGGTCCTGGTTCATTGTAAAGATAATTGTGGTGGAGAGAGGTGCCTTGGAACATAAGGGTTACAATCTAGGGCAGAGATGCCTGAGTAAGAGAAATGAGTATTGATCCCCATGGAGAAGACCTGGGAGCTACTGTTTTTACTGGAAGCTACTCTTGGCAGACAGGGTGTCTTCAGCCCCACATGCAGCCATTATCACCTAAATGAGCAGTCTCCCATGAAGTGGCTCTTGGCAGGCATGCCAGAAGTCTGTAGACAACTCAGCTGCTTAGCTACCCCATGAAGCTGCCAGCCAGGTAGTCCCTGTTATGGGTCCATTGCTGAAATCTGCCCAAGCAGCACTTGGAGAGGACTGATATATGCCCCCTTGAAAGCTGTAATATGGGGATACAAGAGGTTTTCTGGCTCACTGAGGCACAGGCATTGTATTAAAGCAACAAATCATGGTCTATTTAAAATTTTCTTCGGCTGGGTGTGGTGGCTCATGCCTGTAATGTCAGCACTTTGAGAGGCTAAGGTGGGAGGATGGCTTGAGACTAGGAATTTGAGACCAACCAAGGTAACATAGCAAAACCCCATCTCTATAAAATATTTTAAAAACTAGCCAGGCTTGGTGGCACACACTTAGCCCACCTGTAGTCCTACCTACTCGGGAGGCTGAGGCGGGAGAATCTCTTGAGCCCAAGCATTCAAGGCTTCAGTGAACTATGATCATGCCAGTGCATTCTAGCCTGGGTGACAGAGCAAGAGCTTGTTTCACAAACAAACAACAACAACAAAAAACCCTCTTTGGTTTGTTTTAATCTTTTTAATTGGTCCTGCAGTTTCAATCTGTATAGCGTTAATTTCTTTGAAGGATAGAAAAATACCCTCTTTTGAGAAACACAATCCCAAATGAAAGTGTTTTTCTTCTCATTGATGCTATTTTGAAGAGTATTCTTACAAATGCAGTCATTATGTTTAATGAATTATACTGAAATAAGTACTGGTGAAATTATATCTGAGATTTCTTCAAATACTATGGGGAGGAGTAAGTGAATGGAGTATGAATAATACAAGATTGGCTGTGAGTTGGTCATTGTTGAAGCTGGATGATGGATAGGGGTTTATTCTTCTAGTCTCTCTACTTGTCTATATGCTGAAATTTCCTATAATAAAAAATTGTAATTAGTATGAGCCTTGGGGAGCCTAGGTAAAATATCAAGTAAACTAATGATTCTCAGGCTAACCAAAAGAGGTATATATTTTTTTAAAGGAGGAAATGGATAATATTGCCTCTTAATGAAGGCCACTGCAGCCTTCCCTCAGGCTGTTGCATGGGCATGTTGCCATAGCAGGAGCCATACCACAGAAAGCCTGGGATATAACTAGGCAAGGATCAGCTGAATCCTAATTTAAAGTCAAATAGTTCCATAAAGGAAACTGTCAGATCTACTGCCAACTCCTTGAGTAGGCATTTTCTTTTCGGTTTCCATACTTGTTCTGAGCTTAAACAATCTTAATCTAAAAACCAGTGTTTTATTAACTCATCAGAAATCTGTGTTGAGTACCTGATACATGCCTGGCATTGTTCTAGTCTCTGAGAATAAAATAAACAGGGCCCCTTCCCTCATTCTGTTTATCATCCAGTTGAGACTAATAGAAGAAAAAAGCAAGTAATTTTTTTTTTAATTACGATAACTTCATAGTAACAGAACAGAAATGGACAGGGAAGTGCCCATTCTTGCAAAGTAGTCAGAGAAGGCCTCTTGGAGGTGGAGACATTTGAGCTGAGACCTAAAAACTATGCTTGAGCTAGAAAGCCACACTGCTGTGTCATGCTCCCAAATTGGTTTTGAGGCATAATGTACTTTGTGACACATGAGTTGTTGCTGGCGGGAGGCCTTTTGTTGTGTCCTGTGATGTGTTTAATGTGGGCTTAGGCCATTCTGAGGATGAGGTGCTGAAGCCCTGTTTCTGTTTCTAACACAGAGCTGGGAGTTTGGGATCCCACTGTGCAGGGAGCTGGCATGTCAGTACGAGACCCTCTATGATTACCAAAGCCTCAGCTGGATTCGGGTAAGCTGTGCCCCTCCCCCTACCCCATCCCTGACTGGCATCAGTTTCTAAATGAGTGTTCTTTATCGGCCCGGCCCTTGGTTAAGTGCTGTGGACAGTACAAGAGAAACAAAAGCCAAGACTCCTTCCCTCAAGACACTTGCAGTCTGACTAGGAAACCAAAACACACACCTGACAAATAATTGTATGATCTGGACCACAAGAGCCACTAGTGCTCAGAGAAGGGAGAAGCAGGCATATAGGCAGGATAGGATGGCAGTTTCAAGAAGGAGGTGGCAGGTCAACTTCACAGAGAAGCATTTCCTGGAATGGTTTTGTTTATGGATGCTTCATCCAAAATCTTTGTAAGAACTTTCCCCACTTTGCTTATGGTCACTTTTAAGCACGTTGTACTTGCTGCCTTCTTTGAAGCAGAATATTCAAAAATTAAATCAAATGCCCGATGGGCTTTGAAGGTCTGCACCAAATTTTTTTTGGTTGCTGGTGCTGGGTTCTGAATCATAACGGCTGCTGATTTAATCAACAAAAAAGAGGCTAGAAGTCTCACCTCACCCTTTCTGCATCTTCATCCTTGTGACTGACTCTCCTGTTCCCTGATACAGATTGGTGTTTGGGCATGTTCCTCTAGCAGTAGCTTCCTGACCAGTTCTGCCAGGCTGTCTTGATTGAATGCTTTAGAGGTATCTTTCCAATCAAAGTTTCAGTGAGTTTTTTCTGAATGTGAAGCCAGGTCAGCCACAACTGAAAAAGTTATAGACCTTGGTAATGCTAGACATCGTGGATATTAGTTATCTTTTTAAATTTAAAATATCCTAACTTGGAATGAGTACCAGTGCTGTTGGCATCTGAGCCTTCCTCACTACAGTTGTTAGCATCTTTAGTCAGATAAGAAATGAACAAGAGTTGGACTGATGCAAAATAGCGGTGAGAATTGCTGGTAGCCAGCTATAAGCAACCTAGTCAGGGGTCAACTGGTGTGGTGAGTATCAGTCAAAACCAGAAATCCCCAGGCAGAAAAAGTCCATGTTAAAAGTGTGCCTCCCAAGTATGAAGCCCAGATCTCTATAGGGCTGAGACTACTCCCTGCGAAGGACATTCAGAGCAGCTACACAGGACTGCAGTGGGCAGGCCTGTCCCCATCCCACCATCAGACAGTGGTGACGGAGGGCTTTCTATTCCATGATGCAGCTCCCTGGAGAGAGGCTGATCATGTCTAGAGGCTCACTTACATCTTATCTAGATTGAGTTGCCATGATCCCTTTCCAGAAGACACTGTCCAGTTGGGCTTGGGAGAACTTGCTTTGGATACCAACAGCAGTCAAGCCAACTGGAAAGCCTTTCTCATTCACAGAAAATGGAGGCCAGCTACTATGACAACATTATGGAGCAGCAACGCCTGGAGCCTGAGTTCTTTCGGGTCGGCTTCTATGGAAGGAAGTTTCCTTTCTTTCTTCGGGTGAGTCCATTCATGTGGTCACAAGAACTTACATAGTTTACACATAATTCACGTAAAACCTGTATTCTTTTCTTCCCTTTTTTGCCTCTTCTACTTAATACTTCTTTATAAAGGATGGACTAGTTAACAACTGGCATTTGGCTTTATTTTACTGGACTAGCTGCCAACTTCAGACTCTGTTTTAGTCTGCTCTATTATTCTGTAGCTACCAGGAATGTATGAGGGAGGCTTTCTTACCAAATCAATGGAGTTTCTTCAGGAAGTGACAAGGGCCTAAGAGTGTCCCATAGGTACCTTCCAACCTCTGCTTCCAGTGCCTGGAGCTTCCACTGTGACTCTTCTCAGCCTGGGCACCAGTAAACCCCTGACCTTAACGGTAGGCTGCAGCCAGGATGGAGAACTATTGGTTTGAGAGAACCTGGAGGACGCAGAACTTGGCTCCTGGGATCCTTAGGGAGCTGTCAAGCACTAGGTTTGTCTGTATAAAGCCTCTGCTAGGCAGCCAGTTCTCTGACCCAGGATGACAACAGCCTTTTCTCCCTACTGTTCCCTGGAAAACTGAGCTGTAATATAAAAAGAGTGGAAAGGATGACTGAGCATAGATCTACTGACACCAGTGGTGATTTTCTTATGTATTCAGCACAATTCAGAGGCTCCAGGAGTAGTCAACATACACTGTAGGCTGAGTCCCATAGAGATGTGTTCTCAGATGATCTAAATGAAGCTGCCCTAATGCATGGGGCCTGGAGCAGTTGAGACGTAATCTCTGATCACCCCCAGTTCCAATATCTTTAACTAAAGTTCACTCTCCACAGCCTCAGCAAGTAGCTGGGAAAATTCCCTTTGCTATATTTGGGATCCTGTCTTCGTGGAGAAATTGGTTTAGCCAGTGAGCACTAACAAGCTTGTTATCACATCAAGGGTCAACCGAGATTAATAGCTCCTTTAAAAAAAAAAAAAAAAAAATCTAATACGCTAGCAGCAGAGTCCTGGCTAACCACATTGCAGAGTAAGGCAGGTCAACTTGTACTTTTCTTGGGCAGTAATCATTCTAGGCTAGAAGGAAAAATGATCTGTGTGGGGCACTGGTAATATGACAGGGACAGCAAGCTCACTCTTCCTAGTTGTGATCCCCAGGAAGGCTCTAACTCTGTTCCACAGGAATGTTTCTAGTAGCAGAATGGAAATGAATAGAGAGGCTTCCTTAAGAGGACTGGGCCTCCTTCATCTCTAGAGATCATCCAGCCCAGGCATTTCAGAAGTGGCATATTTGCTATCCCCATCAGTATAGATCATATAAGAACAATGGAGATGGGGCCAGGTGCAGTGGCTCATGCCTGTAATCCCAGCACTTTGGGAGGCTAAGCCAGGTGGATTACGGCATCAGGAGTTCGAGACCAGCCTGGCCAACATGGTGAAACCCTGTCTCTACTAAAAATACAAAGAATTGGCCAGGCACGGTAGTGTGTGCCTGTAATTTCAGCTACTCAGGAGTGTGAGGCAGGAGAATCACTTGAACCCAGGAGGCGGAGGTTGCAGAGAGCTGAAATCGTGCCATTGCACTTCAGCCTGGGTGACAGGGTGAGATTCCACCTCAAAAAAAAAGAACAATGGAGGTGGAGGTCAGCAAAAGAAATAGAAGTTATTGTACAAGATATTAGAAACCAAAACCATTTCCAGAAAGTCCTTTAACAAACTAATGATTCTGGCCTTGTAACTTGCCTTTTTCTCATTTTATCTTTGCAAATTATGCTTTCGAATGTGGTTTCAAAGACCCTGGTAATGGAGGAAGAATAACAAGGGGTGTTAGGAAATATCACCCATCAGTCCATCCCCATCTCCACACAAGATGAAATCTCAAGGAGAGGTATAATGCATGTATAATTCATGCATACAAATTTCATTGGCCAACTCACATGCTACCGTCCCTTATTTCAGCTGCTCCGTCTGTGGCAGACATAGTAAGTCCCAGTGGAGGTAGCTCTTTGCCTTGCAGATGGCGAGAACAAGGTACAAAGCAGTGGCAGCCAGATCTGTCTTTTGTGGGGATGCTGGGGCTCTCACCCAAGCGAACATGAAGCCAAAAGTCAGCCTCAAGGTCAATACTGTGTGCATTCTTCCTGCTGGGCCTTCCCCAGAAGCCTAGGCTACTCTCCTACCATCCCTGAATGCACAGGCCGTCTATTACTTTAGCTCTGTCAGCTTGGTTTCTCTGGACCATCTGCCTGCCTTGCCTCACAGATGTGATTATCTACTAATCTGAAAAGAATCAGGAAAACATCCAACCCTCCCTTCTTGAGGGATTTTTTATTTTTCTTCATTTGACCCATGAACAGACACTGGTGAGGGCTGTTCATATGAATGATATGAAAAGGCCAGTTCTTCACAAGCACTTTCTTTGCCAGTTTTATTTATCAAGCAAAAGACTTAGAAATGTTTCTGTTCTTTGACTACTGGTCTGTTCCACCGGAGAGGCCAACCTGCTCCTCCTGATCTTAACTTCACTTCTACTGTGTCCTTCCCTTCTGATTCATCCAGACACATGGCCAAGGCCGGGTACAGTGGCTCACACCTGAAATCTCAGCACTTTGGGAGGCTGAGGCGGGTGGATCACTTGAGATCAGGAGTTCAAGACTAGCGTGGCCAACGTGGCAAAACCCATCTCTACTAAAAATACAAAAATTAGGCAGGCTTGGTGGCAGATGCCTGCAATCCCAGTTATTTGGGAGGCTGAATTGGGAGAATCACTTGAACCCACAAGGCAGGGATTCCAGTGAGCCAAGATTGCACCACTGCACTCCAGCCTGAGCAAGAAAGTGAGACTCTATCTCAAAAATAAATAAATAAACAAATAAAAACAATACAGACACATGGCCCAGCCTTAGCCAAGTTCTCCCATAGTGACAGAGAAAGTAAGAAGGAGACAGAAATCCTATTTCAAGAAGGTCACAGTCTTCCAAGGCCTGCCTTGTGATTAACCCTGTCCTGGGAAGCATATGGCTGGCCCTGTGAAGCCTCTCTCTCTCTTTCTTCCTTTGAAGACATACCAAGAAGGGCTGTCAGTGCCTGATACCATTTTGTTGAAATGGGTCTGGTTAGGCAGTTGGGTGGGCAGACTGTCTTCCTCCAGCCACCTGGAGCATACTCATGACCAGCTATGAAGTAGGCAGAGCAAGCAGTTGGGGGTACCTTGTCCACAAAAATACTTCAGTCCACAAAGAGAAAAACTGAGACCTAACCCAAACTAAATGTGACATAACATAAAGTTTTAAGAACCGTGTAGTTAGAATTATGTTTGTTTGTTCTGCTAACATGTTTGCAAAGGAATTTGCTGCCAAAGGGTTATTAATGCAATAATCAGTTACTGCATACCTACTGGGCACTGGGCAACATTTAGACTGTTTCTCTCAACTAATAAAAGTGATCCTTCAAAATCACACACTTGATCACCCCCTCATTTAAAATTATTTGGTGGCACCCATAGTAATCACAGTTTGGTAACATTGCCAGCCTCCTCAGCCACCCTTCTACCAGTTCTCTACAGAAACATCTTCTTTCCAGCTCTGCCTTTTCCTGTCTTGACTGCTGTTGCCCTGGTTGTCACAGTATTCACATAGATTGTCCTTCCCCACTCACACCAGGCTGACCTAGGTGGACCTTTTTGAGATGGAGTCTTGCTCTGTGGCCAGGATGCAGTGCAGTGGCGTAGTCTCGGCTTACTGCAACCTCCACCTCCCACGTTCAAGTGATTCTTCTGCCTCAGCCTCCTGGGTAGCTGGGACTACAGGCATGCACCACCACACCCAGCTAATTTTTCTGTTTTTAGGAGAGACAGGGTTTCACCATGTTGGCCAGGGTGGTCTTGATCTCTTGACCTCGTGATCCACCTGCCTCAGCTTCCCAAAGTGCTAGGATTACAGGCATGAGCCACCATGCCCAGCCCTAGGTGGACCTTTCAGGACTGTTTTTAAATGTAACTTTTTCTAAAATCCCATGTCCCACATTGCTCTCTTTCCTGGGTAAGGTTTTTCTCCTTCTTTCAAGCTTCTTGCAGCCTTTCCCTTCCCTTGGGGCTGCCACACCACAGTGTAATTCTCCCTTCATCTTTCTTCTCCCTCCATGATTGTCTGGGGACTGAGTACAGTGCCCTGTGCCTGCCCCAGGGCCTGATACAGAGAAGGCTCCTAAGATATGTGTGTCCTATATGTAGCTCCTGACTCCAGTATGGAGGTAGGGGGCTACAAGCAAGGCATACATAGAGTGTGCTCTTATGTTTGTGGCAGAACAAAGAATACGTGTGCCGTGGCCATGACTACGAGAGGCTGGAGGCCTTCCAGCAGAGGATGCTCAGCGAGTTCCCGCAGGCTGTCGCTATGCAGCACCCAAACCATCCTGATGACGCCATCCTACAGTGCGATGCCCAGTGTATCTTTTGACACTGGGTGGGAGGAGGAGGACAGGGGCCCTGGGAGGTGAGGTCCACCCAGTAAGCTGCCCCTCTACCACATTGCCAATTATACAGGTTAGGTATCACATAGTCATAAATCTGAGTGTGACCTCATTGCTTCGCACACACTTAGCAAGGCACTAATACCTCACAGAGGAAGCAGTGGTGCACCGGTAGCCATGGGTAACCTAGTCATCAGTGGGGCTTCAGGAGGGCCTTTATCCCTCAGGCTAGCTGCCTCCAACAGCTTAATCCCCATCCTGCCCTATGAGGAGTCTGCCCAGGCAGCCAGGCGCAATCACTGTACCAGGTGACTTGGGGTCCTATCAGGGCTCTTGTCACAGGGATACCACCTGTGCTGTGCCCTGCTCCACTCCCATGTGTACTGTTATTGTCCCTTGTCATCGTCAGGTGGACTGAGGCAGGGTCCCAAGGACGTGAGGAGTGAGAAGAGATGGGGAGTTCCTTTGGTTTGGTGGCACTTGGAAGTCTGAATGCCAACACTGCCCTACCCCTCACCTTTCACATACAGCTTCCTTGGAGACCACATGACAGTTGCCATAACTATGTGAAAAGACTTTCAAACAGTATTTTATTTAAAAGTTGTTTTTCAGTAAATATACTTTACCTATGGGGAGGAAGCCCAGACCCTTGCAGCCTTCTCTCACTCCTGTGAGGTGCATACCTACATTCCCCTCTTTCCCTTTGTTTCTTAGAGGGTTACCAGAGAACACTTGGCTGTTGACATCTCACCTTGGCTGAGTGCTCATGAGACTCACTACTGGAGCAGGGATGGGGAGAGAGCAGATAGAGATTTACCTAACTGTGCTTGGGTCTGATCTGCTCCTAGAGATGCCACTGCCTCCACCACTGGGCTGTCAGTAAGGAGCAGGGGCTATGGTACTCTTCTCCCATTTGAGGAGATAATAGGGGTCAGCCTCTCAGGTTCATCTCTGGCAAGTCTGGGTTTCTCCTTCACTTCCTGCCCAGACTTGCAGATCTATGCAGTGACGCCCATTCCAGATTATGTGGATGTTCTGCAGATGGATAGGGTTCCAGATCGTGTCAAGAGCTTCTATCGCGTCAACAATGTGAGGAAGTTCCGGTACGACAGGCCTTTTCACAAAGGCCCCAAGGACAAGGAGAATGAATTCAAGGTGAACAAATGTGGGAAAACAGGGGCAGTGCACACAGCAAGTCCAGGGGCAAGCCCAACTTTCTTGGGAACTCACCACTGTTTTATCCCTCAGGTAGGCAAAGTGTGGCAAAACCTGCCTAACACCTGCCTCTTCCCTCCCTACAGAGCCTGTGGATTGAACGTACCACGCTGACTCTGACCCACAGCTTGCCTGGCATCTCTCGGTGGTTTGAAGTGGAGAGGAGGGAACTGGTGAGACATGTCTCGGATGAAGCTGAGCTTCACAACTGCTCCCTCAGCTCCAGCTCTGGGGGCCTTTCTCTAAGGACTGAAGAAAAAGAGAGCTTTGGCCTGGCTGGCCTAGGCTCCCACAGGTCAACCCTATGCTAGGATCTTTGTGTACCTTCTCTCATCTAATCCATACAACACCCCTGAGCAGCAGGTATTTTCAGCCTCCCACTTCACATATGAGAAAACTATTCTCTGAGATTCAAGAAACCAGAGTGCTCTGATTTCAGAACTAATGTTCTTCATTATTTGCTGTACTTCCAAGTGCCTATAAATCAGAAAACAGAAGTGTCCAAGTGCCTATAAATCAGAAAAGACTATGGGAGTCTCAAGTTCACAGGAACAAGGAAGGGGAATCAATATCACAGATCTTAGACCCCAGCTCTCAGAAGTATGATGAGGGCTTATCATCATTTCTGGGATGACCCTGTGTGCTTTGTGCCCCTAGGTGGAGGTGAGCCCTCTGGAGAATGCCATCCAAGTGGTTGAGAATAAAAACCAGGAGCTACGCTCCCTGATCAGCCAGTATCAACACAAGCAGGTGCATGGCAACATCAACCTGCTAAGCATGTGCCTGAATGGTGTCATTGACGCAGCTGTCAATGGAGGCATTGCACGCTATCAGGAGGTAAGCTGTGGCCACAGACCAAACCCACGCAGATAGCCTCGCTGGGAAGGAGGCTCACAGGCTTCTCGTCTCAAGATTGTAATCTCCTTAGGTAGCCTTCCCTACATGCCCTCTCCTGGCTAAACTAACTTGGGATGATCCTGGAATGAGGCCCTACACTCCCTATCACTCCCTATTTCTTTGGCATAGTTCTCTGGTAGGGCCTTTTCTTCATTTTTATTCTCTGAACTCTGAGATGGGTAACCTGTAATCCTGATTATGGGACAATGTTAAGTGCCCTCCAAGAGTGCAGCCCAGCCCTTCATAAGAAGTGAGTCATAGGCTGGATAAGAGGCTAGCCCCTATTCCCAGTCCACCCATCAGTCCTGCCTACCCTACCTAGGCCATCCAGGCTCCATGAAGGACTGGGGCCAACATCCAGACTTGGATGGCTTGGCTACATTCAATCCTTCTCAGACAAAAAACACAGCTCTAATTGCCAGAAGTTCAAACAGGTCAGACTGGTGTTTGTACCTATAAGGAGACAGCCTGGCTGCTTTTTAGGTGGTGTCAGTGGACTCAAGTCTCCTGGGCCCCACCTAAGTAGTAGTCCTGGGAAGAGTCTTCCTGACTTGGCCTTTCCTTTCACAGGCCTTCTTTGATAAAGATTATATCAACAAGCACCCGGGAGATGCGGAGAAGATCACCCAGCTCAAGGAGCTTATGCAGGAGCAGGTATGTGTTGGAGAGCTTAGGGGCCAGCAGCCAGGTAAGAAAAGCCATGCACTACAAGATGACTTCAATTCTCAGGGGCTGCTCGTGTTTCACAGAGTGGCCTTGTTTGTGACTTTGATAGGTTCACATCCTTGGAGTTGGGCTAGCAGTTCATGAAAAGTTTGTGCACCCAGAAATGCGGCCTCTGCATAAGAAGCTAATTGATCAGTTCCAGATGATGCGGGCTAGCCTCTACCATGTAAGTTGATCCCTGTCCTGCCCCGCCTCTGCTGCAGTGGAACCAGGTGTCACTTCTCCAGACATACGCCACAAGCTGAAGGAAAATAGGAGAGAGGGAGCATAGGCAGGGGCCAGGTCAGGGAGAGAGGCTGTCCTCACTATAGAGGGACGGGGGACAAGGATGGATCCTATATCTCGGGGAAGGATGCTGAGGATCCTTCACTCACTCACTCTCAAAGGAGGAGCCAGAGGGCAGAGAACAATTTTCAAGGCAGTACGCTAGTGAACAGGTTTTGATATGTGGAGGAAAAGAGCTAATGTATGTGGCCCACTTGTAGGGATCTTTTTGGAGATGCTTTTTATCCCAAGAACCTAAAGAGACAGGCATGGCCTGAGCCAACCTTCTCTCCCCATCTCCCTCCTCCTCCTCTCTCCCTACCCTTCTTCATTCTTTTTTATTTTATTTTTATTTTTTCCACATCCAGTCTTAAAGCTATACCTGAACCTTCTTCATTCTTCCTCCTCCCTCTGTTCTCTTTTCCCACTTTTTACTTTTCCCCCCTAACCCCTTTTCCTCCCTCTTTTCCTCCTTCCCTCTTCTTGCCAGCTTCCTCTATCATGTCTGGTGATCCAAGCTCACATCTCAGAGAACCTAGGATGAGCAGTACTTTCATGCTAGCTGTTCTTAAAGGGATCAGGCAGGTCCTGGGGCTGGACCAGGCTCCTGAAAATCTCCCTAACTCTGGCCCAGCTCTTGAGCCTCCACAGTAGTGTTTGGCCCAAGGATTTATACACACAAACAGGACTTATATTCCAGGACCAGTTTTCCTTGGCAGGGTCTTAGAGAGAATGCTGATTGGCTGAGGATAAAGCACCCTATTCACATACTCAGACCTCATTTTCAACTGTGCAGCTGACTCCAAATATTTTCTAGAGATGCCTGCCTGCTAAACAGGCTGGTTCCCAGATCTTAAGGGGTATAAGCCCAATCACCTGCTGCTACCTGGCACCCAAGCCAAGTTCTCTTCTCATCACCCAGGACCACTGGATCGAAGTGGCAGGGAGACAAGAAGTAGAGCTGTTCAATGCTGCACAAGGTTGTCAGGAGCAAAAAGTCCCCCTCTAGGAATAACCATGGCCACAGGAGCCCTGAGGGAAGTTGAACTATTTAGACTCATTGGGCCTGACCCATTTGGAGTGGACCTGCTTTGTTCTTGGATGCCGCAGGTTCTGGTCATCTCTGTCCCTCCAGGTTCCCAGTGCGGGTCTCAGCCTGTGTGGTTAAGCATGGACAGCATGAAAAGAGAAAAAGAAGCTTGTTGTAGTTTGAGAGGTAGCGGCACATTTCCAGAGGAAAGCCTGGAGATCCTGAAATTTCTCCCTTATGTTATGATTCTCCCATGGCATTTCAAGATGAAACATGCAGAGAAGCTCTTTTAAATCTCTGCCTTAAAAGTGGAGCGTCCATTTAGTTAAGAACTTGGGCAGTGTTGCTGAGTCTGGTGGGTATTCATTCCACTACCTCTCATTCCAGGGTCTCCTGTCTGTTTGACTGGTCTCTGCTATGTGCGAACTTCCCCATCACAGCAGATGACCCAGGCAGGCAAGAGCCTGGTCACTAGGGAAGTTCTCTGCCATGTGGGTTGCAGCAAAAAGCACAAAACACTTTCCGATAAACTTCAAATTATTCCATGTGCACATATATCCTCTCTTCAGCCACAGAAATACATTTTAGCCCTCTGCATGCTTAAGAAAAAGCGAGTAGAAATGCTGGTGCTTCTTCGGGCCAAGCTCAGAAATATCCCCAGTGGACTTACAGCCCTGGTTCACTACAGATTTTGAAGGACTTGAGGAAACCTGAACAGTTGTTTCCTCTGAGTTGCACACAGGGACACAAACCAACATGCTATTACCCAGCAGGGTTTGAGATCAGACATGTCTGCCAAGAAATCTACATACTTAATATGAATTAATTAAGCTAAAAGAGAGCTGTGCTATTTTCAGTTACATACATCAGGATTTTGTGTCCTGTGACTGTGTCACAGACAACCCAGGTCACTAAGACCTGAACCATTTAGCAGTCTAATAAAACCCGGCACCAATCCTTATATAGTCAGTGCCTACTGACTGATAACAATAAGCTCTTCCTCTCCTTCTTCCCAGTTCTTGTTCTACGTATTCCATGGTGAGAAAACCTGTTAACACACTCCTATGAGCTCAGAACAACTTCAGCCCATTCCAGATGTGCTTCTCGTTGTGGAGTCAACCTGGGGCCTCACACATGGCCTTTGGTCTAGGTTCCAGTGCAGTTAGGAGGGTGTTTAGTCGTGAAGGGAGCATTGCCCAGAGGAAGTCAGCAGTTCAGGTGCAGCCAACCTGAAACCTTGTTTCTTTTACATTTTTGATCACCAGTCAGTTCTTCCCTCCCATCCCTTAGTTACTTATTTATTCTTTACTCTCTATGAAGGGGCATTCATTTCTCAACAGGAGTTTCCAGGTTTGGATAAGCTAAGTCCTGCATGTTCAGGCACCAGCACCCCACGGGGAAATGTCCTGGCGTCCCATGGCCCCATGAGTCCGGAGAGCATCAAGATGACCCACCGGCACAGGTATGGCCTTAGGGCTGGGGGGGAGGGGGCGGGAGTTCCCTCCAGAGAGGTAAGTCTAAATTGTTAAGGGTCAGAGGAAAGAGTCCTTGTGTATACTCACATTCCCTCTTACCCATGCACACAGCAAACACGTGGCTCCTGCCGCAGGACCCACACCCTGCATTCAGTCAGTCACTGTCCTGTGTAAGAGAAGTATATACATGGTATTGTGGGATCGTGGAGGAGGAGGCATTTGGGGTAAGTCTTGAAGGATAAATAGATGTTTACTAGGGGTTAGGAGGGTAACAGGGCAAGATCCAGGCAAATTGACTGACACATGCAGAAGCCTCAAGATATAAACAAGCCAGCCTGGTCGACACTCTAAGTAGAGCAAAGTGGCTGGAGTGTAGGATTCCAGGGTATGGAAAGGGGCTGGGACCAGCTCTTGTTCATGCAGGCCTTTGGACTTGATCCCAAGGAGAATGAGGATCACCAGATCAGTTTTAAGGAAGAAACAGCATAGTGATGTAAACATCAAAGACTGGTTTGCCTGGGCTCAACTGAGAATACTGAAAGCCTCTAGGGCAGGAAGGCCAGGTTGGAAGAGGAGACCAGTGAGACAGACCCTCACTTAGGCTTGTTTTCTAGTGTGAGTGGTAACTCAGCACAGAGTGGGCACTCAATAATTAAGGAACAAAGGAATGAGAGGCTTTCCTGGTATTGCTAGAGGAGAGCTGTTGACAGACCTTTGGCCACAGATGTGGAAGGAAGCCCACAGATAGTTCATGGCCAGCTATTAGGCTTCTTCCACACTGGGAAGAAGCCTCGGACCAAGGAGCAGATCCCATCATGGTGTGGGCAGGCGGTGGGCACTGGCCCAGACTAATACCCCATAGAAAGGGGAACCTGAGATCTTTGACCTGATTTGGCATATCTCTCTTGTATTCCTCCTAAGAAACTGCTAATGTCATCAAACTGAGTGGCCTTAAGCTATGTGGCTGTAGGTAGAGGCTTGTCCAGTGTACTACACCATAGTCCCTCCCAGACCAAGAGCTCCTGAGTAGCAGGGTACAGCTCAGGACTCTTCCAGGCCTCAGATGGGTATGAGCATTGTCTATGGAACCCTGTAAATCGGTGGTAGCTGAGACTAGGGATGACTGTGTCGCACATTCCGCTCTATCGTCCCCCTGCCACCTGCCATCAGCCTGACTCCTCGCTGTTTCCCACTCTTGCTCACAGCCCCATGAACTTGATGGGCACAGGCCGGCATTCATCATCCTCTCTCTCCTCACATGCGTCTAGTGAAGCAGGAAACATGGTGATGCTGGGCGATGGCTCCATGGGCGATGCTCCGGAGGACCTGTACCACCACATGCAGGTACCAGAGCTGTCCAGGGAGAGTGGGCCAGGGTACCATGCCTACAGGACTCATCTTGCTGTTGGAATGTTGGTCTGAGGGCTGGCAACCCTGCCTAATTCTCTAGCTCCTGAATTTAGAACACCCCTCACCAGAGCTAGAAACCCACCTTTCCTCCACACACCATCCTAAGTCTCAGTTCCCAGGCCTTATTTCCCAAGAAGAAAATCCAGCTTCAGTCCTGGTTGCTTTCAGATATCCCATGGGAAACATCCTCTGCCAGATTGCCCCCTTGCCTGGCATTCCTGTTGGCTTAGTCCTGCTTCCTCCATCGTCACTATAGTATGGTCAGTTTAACAACCTTGTTCCATATGGGTGGTGTGGGTGACCCCTAGTCCCCAGCCATTAGCCTAGCCTCCCTCAGGGTATAGCATAAGGCACTGGGGCAGAGCACCTCATGAAAAAGCAACCCTATGCTAGCCCTAAAGTCCTGGCCATTCAGACCTCTATCCTGCTGATTTTTCTCCCTTTGCAGCTTGCGTATCCCAACCCCAGGTACCAGGGCTCAATCACCAACGTCTCTGTTCTGTCCTCGTCCCAGGCAAGCCCTTCTTCCTCCAGCCTGAGTTCCACTCACTCAGCACCATCCCAGATGATTACCTCTGCCCCTTCCAGTGCCCGAGGTAAGGATGGCAGATTGCTACTTGCAGAATGGAGAAGAGAGGTCTTTGTGAACCCCACTCGGCTTCCTCTCATCTGTGGCTGTGTCTCTGAGAGCAGCCCTGTGATTTAGAGAATACTCATTTGTGCTTTTACCACTAAGGACTCGAGAATTCCTGCCTCCAGGCCTCTTCTCTGGCTGGTTTTAGACTCTGCTCTGAGCTGCTAGGCAGCCCCTAGGTAGACAGCCATTGCATTTCTACCTCAGTGAAAGGACACACAGCTTAGAAGAAAGCTCACTTCTTTCCCATTGAAATTTGTGCTAGAACAAAGATGAAAAAAGTCAAGGCAAAAGTGAATCTTTTGTCTTGAGGAATCAGACATGATGACAAAGTATGAGAAGTAAATCTGGAGGCTAAAATTAACCCTGGAAAATGTTATTCCAAAACAGTAAGAGCAACCAAAAAATTTTTCTTCAGTTGGGAAAGGCTTTCTCAGGAGAGATGGCTCTGTAAAAATCTATTTACTTTGCCAATTATTGCTTGATTTTTTGTTTAGTTGAATAAATATTGTTCTTTGAGAGCCAGCGTCTTTTTCACATTCTAATCCTAGTTCCCAAGTTAAAGATGATCCTGTCCTTGTAGACAGAAACATTTGCAGTGGAATGGAAATTAGCTGGGGTAAATAAGATCTAGTGCTTCCCAGGGTTGGCTACGCAAGATAGTGACAGTGGTCTGAGCTTGCCAGCCAGTCACTGGCCCTTGCTTCCCAGGCTTCAGAGGGAGGGAGTCTCTTTGTTCTTCTCATTATTCTGAAAACAAAGAAAAATAGTACAAATGTATGACATAGGAAGTCGTTAAGGAAAGAATCTCTCCAAAGCAACACAAACCCAGGAAGCCCACAGCAGGAGTGATGGCTTGTGGCATGGTGAAAAAAGGCAGTGACCACCGGGAAAAGCCTTGGCAGATTGTAGAGGGAAGTGGTGTATGGTTGCAGCAGGCACAGTCAGACTTCCACCTGAAGTATTCAGACCAAGCCCTCATTTCCAGAGCAAGGGGATAAAGGCCATCTAGCCAATTTATGGCCAGTTTGGAGCACAGATCTTTACACTCACCAGCCCTCACTATCATGCCCGTTCCACTGTCCATATTGCCTCCCTAACATGGACTCTGAGGTTCAGAAAAGGAGAGCCAGCCTTTGAAAGCAGACATTTCTAGTACTAAATAGGAAAAATGAACCAAAATATTGGTGCATGCTGAAGATTTCAGTATGTGAAAGCTGCAGACATAGAGAAGGAGCAGTGATATGTGTTATCAAGAAGGCACACTGAAAAATGGCTTTGGAATAAAAAGAAAAGAAACCCTGGGCCATGAGTGCTACAGTGGAGGTCAGCATTTACAGTGTCTTAAGGTAAATAGTCCTGAACAGAGCTGCAGAAACAGATTTTGTAATCCCTTCTGGTTTTGTTCTTTTCCCTAACCTAAAGCATCTCTAAGATATGCTCAGACATATCTAAGACTTTATCTAGTATTCTTGCTGGAGACAGATCTCTGAATCATGATGCTTGATAAACACAGAAGGCAACAAAGGATGGACATTTGAATTCAATTGCACTTTGACATTGGTCAGACACTTCCTCTAGGCTATTACAGATACTCAGTATCCTGAAGAGAACAAAGAAAAGGAATAAGCAGGCCCTGCTGTCAGGGACCTGACAGGCTGGCAGTTACCACCTTTTCCTTCTAGCTATTGACTTATTGTTCACTTAACCAAGCTTTTACTGAATGCTTAGTGAAGAATCCGCATGGCTCTTGCCTGAGGGAGCTGGTGGTGCACTACTTCAGTGCTGAATAGAGAGAAAATATTTTTCTCCTTGTTTGCAAATAACTCCTCTTTACTTCAAATGGCTTGGTTATCTGTTGCTATATAATAAACCACCCCCAAAACTTCTTAAAACAACCTATTATCATCTCTTACCATTCTGTGGGTTTACAGGGCTCACTGAGCAACTCTCACTTGGAGTCAGTGTCACTGGTGGGAGTCATCTAAAGGCTCAGCTGGGCTGGATATTCGAGATGGCTCACATACATGGCTAGCAATTGATGCTGGTGGTCAGCTGGTGTACCTGGGCTGTCAACTTGAGCCCCTATATGTGACCTTTCCATGTGACTTAGGCTTCTCACAGCATGGCAGCTTATTTTCCCCAGAACAAGCATTCCAAGATACCTAGGAAGAAGCTGCAGCCTCCTTTTTATCCAGCCTTGGAAGTCCCCATGTTTCTATTGGCTCGTCAAGTCCTTAATGTCAACCCAGACACCAGAGAGGGGAATGAGATTCCACCTCATGTTGTAAAGAATGGCATGTGTGTTTTCGGAGGGAAGGCATTGGTGGTCTTAAGTTGTCACTATGGCCAAACTCCAGAATATCACACAGAAGAAGGCTGAGACAGGCCCCTTCCCTTTTGGGGGTAAACATTAAGTAAAGAAGTAAACAAAATAGTTAAATAGAACTGGGCCCAAAGAGAATAGTGACAAGATCAGAGGTAGTGAGAAAGAAAGGAAGTTCCTTCTAGACCACAACTTCCATACAAACCATGTGCAGGCTTATATGGAGAAAGCTGCGGGTCTGTCAAGCAAGGTGTTAGGCCCTGGAAGGGCCTGCACATAGAAGGCTCTGTGTAACATGGCATCAGAGAGGAAGACTGATATTTTCAAATGCATGTGGTAGATGTTGTAGTAGATGCACTCTGGGCAAAGAAGGGAGGTAACAGTCTACTCAGTTTGAGGTTTGTTTTTGGTATTACCAGGGAGGGGAAAGCTTTCATAAAGAAGGTGATCTTGAGGGAAGTTGCACTGGGTTTACTTCCCCCACTCCCAAGGGTGGTCATGAGACCAGTGGCCTTCCTTGCCATACCCATGGATACTGCTGTGATTCCTGTTGCTTTGGAAACCTCTGAGAGGGATGGCCTGCAAGGTACAGTCTAAACTCTTGTAAGTTGACAGCTCCCCCTGCTGATCAAAAGGCTGATTGGAGCTAGGAAACAGATTTTGAATAATCCTTGAATAATTAATTCAGTGACACGGGGGTTTACTAGACTACAACTCACATAATTCAGAAGTCCCATGAACATAGAAACCCTTGTGGTGTTCAGATGCTTTCATGAAAAATAACCATCACCTTCTCCTACCATGGGACTGGCTGCCCAGGGCAGGGGGCAGGGGGAGGAAAGTGAAGTTGTAGAGTTAAAACATTTAGTAGTGGCTCAGAGCACCCGTTTGTGGCCACCATAGCCCAGAGAGGACACCATAACATGAACCTGAATCTTCAGCAAAGCCCCTGAGCCCTGGCTATGGCCTTCAAGCTGCTGTCTCTCCATCCTAACTTCCTAACACCAATCAGGATATTGAATATGCAGATGTGGGGTTTTCTTTATGAGCCAGGCTATGAGCTCCATGAGGTGAGAGACCATGGACAATCTGAGCAAGACAGTATACCAGGTTCCAATCCCATGCTTGGTGTGGAATGGGCATTAGATATGGGTTTGATGTTACCAAGATGGTGTAAAGGTGCTGTGTGTCTTTCTGTGCATACTGAACAGAGAGTAGTCCTGTCTAGAGCTGTGGCCTGCAGGACTCAGGAAGCATTCTGAATATCTTGCTGGGAAAGCACTATATTAATCAGTGAGAATAGGTGCTTTTTTCATTTCTCTTTACATAGCCCATCTTCTTGAGATTGCCTGAGAATACAAGCTCTAAAAGAGAACATAGAAACCAGTAAAATCACAAAATAGCAATTCAAGTTGAGTTTAAAAAATCATACTTTAGTCATTCCCTTACTAGTGAAATGACATTTTTAAAGACTAGGTCTTAAAGCCAGCTATGAGGTTCTACAAACAGGATCACTCAGACCAACTGTGGAAAAAGTTACATTACTGGTATTTATTATGCTGACTTCTTCAAAGTATTTTAGCCTCATCTTCTTGGACTGAAATGAATCTAAGAGGAACTCCTCAAGGATTCCTGTGGCAAGCTGGCTGAAGAAGACCTTTTTTAAGCTGTGTCCTGACAATGCTGGCACTACACACTCAAAGGAAAGCCCCAGAGACCCTGAGTTCCAGGGACACAGAGCCTCCAGGAGCTGCAGATTCACCCCAGCTGCAGATTCAGCTGGAGCCCATGGGTTGGTCTAAACTACCCAACTTCACTCAGAGGACACCCCAGAGAGTGGTTTCAACCATAAGAGCCAACCAGAGGCTTGAGGTCCAGGTGATCCTCCTGTGAGGGGTCTGATTCCCCCAGTGGTTTCTCATGTATATGCTGGTATCTGGCACAGTGAGCACATGTGGAGGGCCTTCCAAATTACCCACTCACCCAGGAAAGCCAGCAAGTTATTCTTCCTGCTTCTGTGGAAGATCTTCTCAAGGGCCACGGTTGACAAGTTCCTGGTCCTATAGCTATGGCCTGAATCCATGGGGACTGAGTCACACCACATGTGGCATGGTGTGGCCTCCATAACAGTCCCTCAGGCTAGGGGAAATCACTGCAGAGGCCTCACAGGAGAAGAACATGAATCAAGTCAACTAAAGAGCCCAGGTTAAAGCTCCATGATTTCCACATTGTTTCATGAACCCTGAGTTCACAGAAGGGCAAGTCTCAGAGAGAAACCCTGGAGAGCAAACTGTGTGCAGAGACCTGGTCCCCAGCCAGCCTGGCTCTAGGGCTGCAGTAGGACTGGCAGGAAGGCAGAAGCCAGGTGCTGGGGGCCTATAATCTGGGAGGGAGAAGCCTCTGAGAAAGGGTGATAGGGGGCCAGGTGAGAATAGGACCAGTGGTGTCAGGAGAAGGTAAGTGCATAGGAACACAGTATGTCAAGTAATAAATGTGTGGCTACGTTATCAGAGTGTCTCTGTCTCTGTGAGTGTCTCCATTGCAAGCTGGCCTATTCCCATGCCTGGATCCCAGGAGAGCCCAGCGTACAAGCCACACCCGTTTCCTAAGCATGCTGGATGCAGGGAGCCCCTAGCCACCCTGCTCCAGTTCTTAAGTCTCCTCACCCTCTGCTTCTGAGCATGGTGGGGGCTCTGTCAGCGGGTCTGCATCTCCCAGCCTACAGTGTGTCAGCCTTGGCTGGGACATGAGGTGCAGCCAGTGCCACCATCTAACCACCAGGCTTTGCTTCATTCCTCCTGTGCTTGCTGAGCTCATCCTCACCCCAACTGCAAGGGACACCTACCCTGGTTCCCCAGTCCTGAGGATGCTTGACTGCCAGACCCTCCATTTGTGGCTTGTCATCTGTGCTTGATTGTTCTCACTTGGTTACAGGCTCTCCCTCTCTGCCAGATAAGTACCGCCATGCCCGTGAAATGATGTTGTTGCTGCCCACATACCGGGACCGCCCAAGCAGTGCCATGTATCCAGCAGCCATCCTGGAGAATGGACAGGTAATAGACCCACCGCACTGACTGTCCTCTGCTGCAAGCGAGTTAGCTTGTGCTTCCCTCCTTGCATTTGCTGGGCCTTCTGCATTGTCCTGCATGAGTCTCTTTCTGCTATAAGATCCCTCAAAAGGCCGCTAGGCTCCTGGATGTGGAATGCAGTGAACCTGAGGACCAGCAATCTAGACAGAGTGTAGGTCTGAGTAGAAAGGTGGCAGGGTTGGAACCAGCATTGCTCATATAGCTCTCTGTCCTTCTGGCCAGATTCCTGGACTCCTCATCCCTAAACAGCCTAGCAGAGGTAATTGGTTCTTTGCAGCCTGTCCTGAGAAGGCAGTGGTGGACACATTGGTCTGGAAGATGTTCTTCCTCCCTTTGTGTGTTCTTCCTCCCAAACTCTGCCTCTTTTATTCATCCATCCAATTGAAGTCTCTCACACCTCCTGGGGCTGCTCTACATGCCATTTGCACAGCTCTCCAAATGCTCTGCCTGGGGACCTTGATGAAGAGGCTGCAGGGATTAGCTCCCTCCCCTGGGCAGTCTGCCTCTGCCCTTCTATCAGCGTCCATAAAATTCACCTCCCAGTGACCATTACCTAGCCTCAGAATGCCAGGAGTTTCTTAGTGGTACCTCCCCGTGCCTGATCACCTTTGCCGGGTAGAGGGAAGAGGTCTGCTTGGCAGCTGCCCATCAAAACAGCACGTCCTGTCTGTGACTCTAGGCTTGATGCTGTCCTTTCCTCTATCTTTGGTGCTAACATGGGCCTATGCAGGGCCTCTCCAGGAGGCTAAACCTGTCAGTGCTCATGGGGAAGTGGGAATCTCCCTGGCCAGACAAAAGGATGCAAACAGTTGCCCCTACGTAGCTATGTTTTGTTTCTTGGGCCCTACATAAGACAGCCTGGGTCCCAGCCAGATACTGGAGGATGGTACCACAAATATTGTGTATAGAAGCATTGAGAACCAGACACCCTGGGCAGGCTTACCTAGGGTTGGCCTGGAGTTCTCAGCATATCTCAAATGTGAGGTGTACCATTGCTTTGTTTTCCCTGTCTGATCTTGGAGTGTCCTATCTCTTGTGGCCCACAACACTGTCTCCAAAGATATAACTGGTTGTTTTCACTCTCTGTAATGTTTTTCTCCTTCCTTCAGCCACCAAATTTCCAGCGAGCCCTATTCCAGCAAGTGGTTGGAGCCTGCAAACCCTGCAGTGATCCCAATCTGTCTGTGGCTGAAAAAGGTATTGTTCCCCTTCTCCAGGTGCCTTCCCCCCATGTCTGTCCCCATCCTGAGTATCTGACTCTTGTCCCTGAGCAACAGCTGGCCAGGGCTAAGCCATGCGTCAACACTCAGGTCTGTCTGTCTATCCAGAATTCTGATCAATTCTTGTTCTCACTGTTTAACCTGTCTGGCTTTATGCTAAGGTATACATCCTGTGTTTCTCCTTCCCCAAGGCCTACCCTCAAAGAGGCCCCAGATGCCTCCTGCCATGAGCCCACCTTTGTGGAAACGTGGGCTTCTTCTGTATGCCTACTGTGGACTACTTGCCAAGACTCCTCCCAACCACCCCCAGAATTCAGCAGGCCTTGTGGCCCCTTTGGTCCCTCTCAGCTTGGGCCCTCAGGGATCTCTCCTTGGAGCTCAGAACAGGCCTGTGGCCAAATAAGCCCCTAAAGGAAGGGGAAGGACATGCGATTTCCCAAAGACAGGCTTATCCAAGTGAAGCCCAGGGTGCCCCAAAGGAGTCCGGTCCTCCTGTAGCCACTCTGGCCAGCAGCTGCTGTGAATCCATCTTTTACTGCAAGGCCACCAACCATACTGTAAGACTGAGCAATCCTCCTTAGACCTGAGGCTGTTTAGAGAGTGGGCATTTTACCCTGTGTTCCACTTCTGCAAGCTGATGGAAGAAGCAGACTCAGACCCCAGACACAGAGATCTGAGTTAATTTTAACAGAGAGCAATACTAAATGGGGACAGTGCTGAGCCTTCCTGCCACCCAGAACCTAGTCTCATCTCTGCCCCTCTCCTCAAAGGTTGTCTGCCTAGCTGCTCCATCTGTTGGAGTTTAGTGCACATTCAGTTCCCATCAATACAAACTGTCATCCCCTATTCCATCAGAACATGTCCCTCCAAAGCTGCCATCATCACATTGTCATTGTACCTGTTCACCGAGTGCTATGTGCTGTCCCCACTGTTACTGCTCTTCCTTTGCTCATGGAGGACATATCTCTGGGTCCTTTTTAAAGAGACAAAACACTGGTGGGCACTGAAGCTGGGTGTCCCACCACAAAGAGCCTGGAGACTGGCTGAAGATGCCTTCATAGCTTCAAGGTCGTACATCCCCAAAACTTGCAGCTTTTTGGACTTCTTCATGTATGACCCAAAACAGAGTGCCCTTTTTGCCTGGAGGGCCAGAATCCACAGTGGCATTTCTTCAGCTGAGATGCAGAGCAATCCCAGAAGTAGCCAAGAATCTAGACAGGCTTAGAGCTCAAACAGGTACTGGTGGCCAGACCAGAAGCCTGCACCATCCAGACAGATGAGCGTTTCAAGCCAAGGCCAGACTACATCAAGGAGCTGGACGTGCCAACTGTAGGTGCAGAAGGAGGGTTGTCTCAGAACAGAGGCTGAGCCCAGAACAAGCATATCCATACCACAAGGCCAGCACTTAGTAGGCAGCTAATCAGATGTCTGCCCAGTGGCAACACTCAGGCCAGAGTGTAGCTCTCTAAGTCTACCTGGATCCTCCAGGGCAGGAAGTATATATACTTGTTATCATTCTGTTGTCAGTCAGGGTTCTGAGTCCTGTGAGGACTACATCTCTCATTTCCAGGTATCTCTCTTTGCCAGGCAGTGACTCTCAGATCAGGCGAGCCTGCCCTCAGGATCATGGGCTATGAGCTGGCACCCTCAGGCCAGTGCTGGACAGTTGTTAAGGATGAGAGAGGGAGGCAACAGGATACAGTGGGGATCACCCCTCTTCTCCTAGGATAAGTCCTTCTATCTTAGCTTTCCCTCTAGCCCCAGTGCACTTGTGGTACGTGGCAAAGGTCTACTGGCCCCATTGCTCACAGACATCAGGCTGCAGGGCAAAACTGATGACCTCTGGCTTACGTGGAGTCACTCAGGCAAGCACCCTTTTGTAAACCATTACAGCCTTGTCAGCTTTCTTCTCCCATAGCCTTCCTGCCCTAGAACTCCTTTGAGCCCTTGTGGGTGAACATCTGCAGCCCCATAATTCTTCCAGGGCTAGGTGTGCATCTGAGATCCTGGACTGTCAGAACCCCTTTAGGGAAGCTGCCCAGACACATTTCCAAACTTCCTATTTTCTGATATTTCTTTGGTGGCTTTTTATGGAGAAGGTGCTTTTTTGGCAGAGCAGGGAAGGTACAAAGAACGTCAGTGATGAGGACCAAAAAGCTCATGCTGCATCTTGTAGAGTGTGGGTGAGTGGACCTTTTCTTGGGATGGCTCAGGCCGAGGAGGTCATTTGGTGAAATCCACCTGATGCAGATCAGATGCAGAATTCTTTCCTCCTTTCAGACAACAGCTAAGTGCCTGCCTGTAGCTCAGTCACTGGCACACCCCTCCTTCCTGCCACCAGCCATCAACTATACCAGGAGACTGGGCAGTCCTCCTCAGAACTGAGGCTGTTTAGACAGTGGAGTTTTACCCTGTGTTCTGCTGCAAGTCCACGCCAGTTCCTGAGCAATGAGGAATAAGAGGGTGATGGATGTCACAATCTTATTCTTGGACAGCTGAGGGGGCCCAGACCCTCTGGCCACATCCTTTTTAAAGGACAGACTCTAGCTCCTTCCCTTCCAAAGCCTCTCACCCATTAGTCCCTGAAGTTCCCATCTCTGTGTTGATACCAGGAAGGACCCAAACCTTAGCCACCTCAGGTTCAATGTAGCTACCACAGCCTTAGAACAAATCCAGTGACAACACCTGGATTGTGACCTGCTTCTCTGCTGCTAGTAGCCCAAAGAGGAGAGTGGGGTTGCCTGGCTCCAACAGAGAAAGGGCATATTTCTACTTGCTGGTATTTGTTCTCTAGGAAGAGCTGACAGAGAATTCACATGTCCCCTGCTGCTCCTGCAGAGTGGTAGCCTCAGACCCCAAGGTCCAGCCATCATTCCTCTCTCCTCCTTAAAAGTCTATCATCTCGCCGGGCGCGGTGGCTCACGCCTGTAATCCCAGCACTTTGGGAGGCCGAGGCGGGTGGATCACGAGGTCAAGAGATCGAGACCATCCTGGTCAACATGGTGAAACCCCGTCTCTACTAAAACTACAAAAAAAATTAGCTGGGCATGGTGGCGCATGCCTGTAATCCCAGCTACTCAGGAGGCTGAGGCAGGAGAATTGCCTGAACCCAGGAGGCAGAGGTTGCAGTGACCCGAGATCGCGCCATTGCACTCCAGCCTGGGTAACAAGAGCGAAACTCCGTCTCAAAAAAAAAAACAAAAACAAAAACAAAAAAAAAAGTCTATCATCTCAACTGTGGCTGAGGGGACAGTATTCTGGCAATGGACTCCTTTAACATAGAGGGGCACTCTGTGCTTCTCTTTATCTTGGGCCCACTGCACCCTGCACCCATGGCATGTGGGTGCTAGGAACTGGGCTTCTCTATACACCCAAGGGCACTCATGGGCTCCACAGCCCTCCCTTCTCCTCTTAGGAAGTAGTGGGTCCAGCTGGATCTGGACTGCAGTTCCTGGGCTTTCTACTTTCTTCCAACAGGTACCTGTCCTTGCTCCCTGCTTTTCCCACTAAGCCTGTGCAGTAGGAGAGCTGACTCTAGACTTTGGCAAGGAGCTCTATGTCCTGTGCTCTCTCTGTATTCTTGTATTCTCATCTCTCCTCTCCTCTTCTGTCCTCTGTTTTCTCTTCTCCTGGAAGATCCCAGAGGCTGCAGATGTTCACTCCTTGCTGCACATTCAGCTATCCCATCATAAATACTCTAGACAAAAGCTCACTCTGTTGCCCTCCTCTTAAGCAGCTTCAATCCCTGGCCACTCTCCCCTGTGGACCACAGTGCCTTGCTTGGCCAGTGTTTTTAGTTCCAAGTGCTGGCATGCCCCACCCGTGTGCTGGATACGTTATGCACACTGGAGAAGCCACAGGCTGTACTTCTCCCCCAGGGTGGCTCAAGAAGTAACCTCCCTTCATGCCATCTGTTTCCACCCTTCAGCTGTGCCAGCAGCCCCCAGCAGCTGGAGTCTGGATAGCGGAGCCCAAGAGGCCCAGCCCTTCCTGTCTGCCCATATGGGGCGCATCATGGTCCCCCCAGTGCCTCCCCGAAGCCTGCTGCATGGTAAGAAGACCTCCAGCGGGTACCCCAAATCATCCCTGGTCTCAGACGCTGCTCAAGGGCCAGAGTAACAGCCACGTAAGCTGAGAAGATGGGCCATTCTCTGGGTCGACTCAGCCAAAGCAAAAACACTCCCACCACAGGAAGGATCCTGCTGGGCTTTGGGGTCAGTGAGGTTTCTGACTACAGCAGGTTAGCTCAGGAAGGCTGTCCCAACCAGGAGGCTGAAGACAACGGAATTGACTGTGCCAGGCACACTGCTCACCAGACTCATCACCTAGCAGTGGGCTAGAGCTGCCGCTGCCTGAGGCCTGTTCCACAGACTCTGAAGCACTCAACGTTCCTGAATTCCTGTGTGGAATGGGTTTCTTTTACCCCAGCAGCCTGTGTTTTGGAGAAGGCCAATGTAAAGAGAGGTTTTTCCATAGCCTTCAGCACTGAGGGGTCCCCAGGGGACTCCTCATGCCCAGTTGGCCCAGCAAGATGGTGCTGGCATGAAGCCTGTGTAGGGCCCCCAGCTGAGGCTCTGGTTCTTTTCCTTTTGCAGGTCATTACTCCCTACACTTTGACGCCTTCCACCACCCTCTGGGTGATACCCCCCCAGCCCTCCCTGCCCGGACCCTGCGCAAGGTAATGTACTGAAGCAGCAGCCCCACCAGGCTGTGAGATGAGTCATCTCGTCTGCTCTAGAACCACCCTTGGGGTCTACAAGAGGAACTGGAGCTCTCCCCTTCACCTCTCTCCCCAGCCTGGCAGAAGCTGAGGGTGGCCAGAGCCACACTTGAGCTGCAGGTGCACACTTGGGTCCTGCAGCAAATGCGGTGGGGGCAGGGAGATGAGAGGGTCCTGGAAACAACAACAACACAGTACTAAGAGTGTGTGGGCAGTGAGCTCTGGGAAAACTGGGGGCTCTCAGCCAGCACCATGGTATCAACACACCATAGTTCACTAGCTAAACAAACATTCCTGTGGTGGATCAGACAGCATTTCAAACTAGAATTCAGTAAAAGCAAGAACTTTATGAAAACTCATTAGAGTAAAATTTCCTGTTAATTTGTCTGCAAATTGGAAAAGACTAAGTTAGTCTATCACAAATTTTAGCAGCAGAATACATTCCTCTGGTCCATGGCCCACCAGGGTTCTTTCTGCCCCCCTCAACAGACAGCAGCCTGGGACCTGGGACCAGGGGGTGCCAATGCCCAGCAGCCAGTGCAGGGCCATTTTTTGGCCACAGAAATGCAGATGATTCTGGAGTTCCACTGGCTTACTTGAGGGTGGTGGGAGGAGCTGGGAGCTTGTTGCTGAAGAAACAAGAAACATGCTGTTGATGAGGGTTATTTTAAGGTCCATTCATAAGCAGGCTTTTGGTCTTCCCATGGCAGGCAAGTCAGCCTGTCTGGAGAGAGGGATTCTAACATGCCCACCCTTTCCTTCGCAGTCTCCTCTCCACCCTATCCCAGCCTCCCCCACAAGCCCCCAGTCAGGCCTGGATGGCAGCAACTCTACGCTGTCCGGCAGTGCCAGCAGCGGCGTGTCCTCCTTGAGTGAGAGTAACTTTGGGCACTCCTCGGAGGCCCCACCTCGCACTGACACCATGGACTCCATGCCAAGCCAGGCCTGGAATGCTGATGAAGATCTTGAGCCACCCTACCTCCCTGTCCACTACAGCCTCTCTGAGTCTGCCGTCCTGGACTCCATCAAGGCCCAGCCATGCCGAAGCCACTCAGCCCCGGGGTGCGTCATCCCTCAGGACCCCATGGACCCGCCTGCGCTGCCACCCAAGCCCTACCACCCCCGCCTGCCAGCCCTGGAGCACGATGAGGGGGTGCTGCTGCGGGAAGAGACTGAGAGGCCGAGAGGCCTGCACCGCAAGGCTTCATTGCCTCCTGGGAGCACTAAGGAGGAGCAGGCCCGCATGGCCTGGGAGCACGGCCGAGGGGAGCAGTGAGGGGCAAGGAGGCAGCTGGGATGCCACCCTCAGTAAGCAGCTTGCCAACCACTCCAGGTCTGAAAAGCAAGTCCCCTAGCCCCACCCCAGGGAGCCAGAGAGGCTTGGCACTCAGGAGAGAACCGCCCCCAAGTCTCCGTTCTACTGCCGTGAACTCATGTGTTGCCATGTAGAGGCCACAGCAGCATGAAGGGTTGTGGCTTCCCTTTTTATTTCATTTTTTTTTACATTTCCATTTCTATGGGTTTTCCTTTCTTTCCTTTATGCAGTAGATGCTTTCTTCCTCCTGCAGTTCTGGACCATGTGGAGCTATATGGAGAAATTGCACAGACAGCATCACTTTGCCGCACTGCAGGGCCCTGGAGCAGAAGCCCAGGCCCTCCCTCCAGGGTAGAGATGCACAGAATGGAAATTGCACTAAGGATTTCTTCCTTTGCTGTATGGACAGAAGAGTTCATGGTTGCATTCAGGGATTGCAAGGACCATGTAGATATATCACAGATGGAAAAAGGGGCCACAGCTGTTTTGCACAAATGCCTGCCCACCTGTCCCTCTTCCATCCAGGAGTGTGCTATTGAGGGGCTGGCTGGACCAACCTGCTGGCTCAGGCATGTGACTGGCCTAACTGCATGCCTAGAGCACTGCCAGGCTTCAATGGGCCAGCCGTCTCCTACTCCACCTTGGATTTTTCTCTCCATCACATTATTTCTGACCATTTGCTCCCTTCCATTCTTGAAACACCTCATGCCCCACAGGAGCCCCAGTGGTGACTGGATCTGCAAGGGTTATCTCCCACACACTGGGGTTTGAGTGGAGGTGTGGAGCTAGAGGGGCTGTCCCAGCTACCTTCCTCCTAGGGGTAGCTGGTCCCCTTCCTGTGTGATAGAGAGACTTGTAAAAGTGAGTCTGGGGTGTGGCAGGCACCGGAAATCCTCAAAGCTTTCAGAAGCGTCCAGAATGCCTACCATCAGCTCCTGAATCAGGGATTTTCAGCACTACCTCGGAGCCATGGGGTTGGCTCCCCAGCCAGGCTTCCAGGCCCTGAGGACATGTGGTCAGGTTCAGCAGGCTTCTGGGTAAAGAAGGTGGGAGGGGGCTTCTCCTTTGGAAGCAGATAGCCATGCAGGTAAAACTGTCATCTCTCAAGTGGCCACATACAGCAACCCGCTCCAGGCCCGTGGGTACCACCACTCAGGGTTCGGGAATGGCAGGAGAGCAGTTTCTCCAGTCTGCCCAGTCTGTTGGTGTCTTTATAGGAAACTATAAAGCAGAGCAGTGGTGTCTTTAGAGGAAACTCATTCAAGTCAGGGCACCGATTTTCCTCTCAGTTTATTATTTGGGGGGATAGGGTCAGGTGGGTATAGTAGTACTTTACTAGGGTGCTTTTAAGTTACTTTAAAAAAAAAAAAGCCTACAAAATATTTTTTTTTTATTTGCTTGAGTTCACATTAATGATGGTCACTAGGCTGCCTTGTTGAGCAGGCATGTTGCCCCGTTCCTCTTCTGCTGGTCTGTGTGACCTCCACGGCCAGGCCCTCGGCCCGAGCCCCTCGGCCCTTCTCCAATGTCAATCTTTCCAGACAGTGAAGGCCATAGTCAGGGTGTTTTTCTCTTGTAAACAAACCCCAACTTGTTTAACAGAAATGCTACCAACCTACTGAGAAAGATGGAGGTCTAAATCACCTCCAGGGTTTTTCTAGGGGTTTAATCAGTGTGGGTCCCTTCTGATACCATGAGGCTCACTCCAGGCAGAGTGGGACAGAAGGCTGCTGAGGATGTGGGTCAGTCGTCTCTTCTCAGCCTACATTCATTTGCAAGCTTCAATCTCTGGACCATTTGGTGTCCACAGAAGTGTTAGAGGGTTGGGGTGAGCTTTGGATTTGATTCTTAAGAGGGCATTTTTAGATTCTAAGGCACTTCTGAACCTAAATCCCTGGACAAGGCAGTCATCACAGAAGAACAGCTACCTTCTCCACTTGGTGGCACAAAAGGTAGGGAGGGGAGTATGGGTTCATTTCGCTTCGCTTTATGCAAGGTGTAATCGTTTGTTTTCCCTCTCCATTTTACCTAACTGAATGAAAAGGACACATTCTGAAATCCCTTTTGTTGGAAAATCAGTCAGTCTGAGGGGAAATGGGAGGCCAGAGATTGAGAACCCTTTGAAAAGACTGTAAAATACTGATTTTCGTTCTTTCAAGCTTATTTGTAAATACCTATTTGAATGCTGTGTATTTGTACAGGAATTTGAGCAAAAAATGTATAGAATGTGATGTCCAATTGGTATTCAGCACTATAAATGTGTTTTTAACCTCTCGCATTCTGTGCTTATTTAAAACAAGAAAACTTCTAACCATTTCTTTTGTGTATTCATGTTTAAAGAAAAGTAATTTAAAAATGATCTTACCTGTACCAGAAAAGCAAAGTTAAAGGAAAAAAAAAAATTTGTACCATTGTCCCAAGAGGTATTTTACTGTATATATTGTGGTAGCATGTTCAAAATCCAACAAGTAATGTGAATTTTAGATGTAAATATCTGCCACTTGATTTTTTCCCCCTTCCCCCACTTACTTGACTGCTGTGATGTGAATTAAAGATGAATACCTGATACTGATCCACTGAATTCACTGAATGGGAGCAGAGAATGTGCCCCTCTCCAACCCTTGTCAACGGGCTCCAAGCCCTTTTTAGCCCCATAGACATGTCCTTTTTGCGCTGAGTAGAGCCAGCCCTTCCCGCGTCCTGCCTTCAAGGCAGGCAGCCAGCCAGGAGGGCACTTGAAAGGAGGGCAGTCGAAAAGGAAACATCCTCCAGTGCTTCTCTGCTGATCCCCGGGACCCCACTCACGTGCCCCTCTGCAGCGGGATACCCCGAGGGCCTAGCGGGGAGGCAGGAGGCGGGACAGCCACACGGCCACGCTTCAGAGCTTGTAAGGACGCCAGAGAGGGGAGGTGAGGGGCGACCTCACCTCCCCACTCTGAGGCGACCCCAAATCCTCCACCGAAAATCCGGCTCCGGCGCTTCCCTGGGCGGTCTACAGTGACGGCGCAGCCTTGAACTTGGCGCGCCTTGAGCCCTTCCTCCGGAGGTCCGCAGTCCGTCCACCCCGCAACTTGCCTGTCAGCCTATGCACGGCGGGCTCGGGTCTGGTGGAAGTTCAGCAGGTGGGCTCCCAAAGTTGGGCCTGCTGCCCCCGTGAATGAAAGAAGAAAAAAAAAAAGAAAAACCTTTGAGCCTTGCCTGCTGCCGCCGGCCCTCCCTGCCTAACCTGTTTTGGCTGACCCCCGAACTCCTGCACCCCGAGTCGGGTCCGGGCGAGGAGATCCACAGGGTTTTTCGGGCGAGTTTGGGGCCCAGGGCAGGGAGTACGCGGGTCAACTCAGCAGACGTAGGGCGGTGAGTGAACCTCACTTCAGCCAGCGACACTCGGCCTCAACCCGAGTCGCTGCCCTTACCCAAGATGGCGGACCATACCGCTTCCGTCGCAGCTGTAGCCGCTTCCTGCGATGGGCCCGCGTTCAATCAGCGGCCGACAACTATCTAGGGCTGAGACATCACCAGCCAATGAGGGAGGGCAGCGTGGAGCCGCCCGTCTGGGCTCCGCGGCTCGTGGACCAATGGGGTAGTGGCGTGTGGGAGGGCACGGAGGCCCACCTGCCAATGAGGAGCTACGGCGCGCGACCGGGACTTGGAGGCGGTGCGGCGCGGCGGGTGCGGTTCAGTCGATCATCGGCGGCGGCGGCGGCGGAGTAGGATGTGGGCCACGCAGGGGCTGGCGGTGGCGCTGGCTTTGAGCGTGCTGCCGGGCAGCCGGGCGCTGCGGCCGGGCGACTGCGAAGGTGCGGGGGGCCGGGGTCCGCGCTCCGTGGCCGTTCTAGCAGCGGCGCCGAACCCCACAAAACCACCGACTGCTGGGGGCAAGCGGGCGGGGGCGGGGGCGACGGCAGGTCCCGGCGAGCCTGCATGAGGAGGCTCCGACGCCGGCCCTAGTAAATCTTTCCTAGTCCTAGAAAACATTGGTCCGACGAGGAAAAGTTAAGACTAGATCCCATTGAAAACTTGGCCTGAAATCTCCATCACGCCTGAGTTATTGTCCCCACTACCATCCAGAGGTTACCGGGAGCAGCGCCGTCCGCCGTCGGGAGCCCCAGGGCTAGCCTTGGGTGCTGCGCCCGGTCTTTTGGGATCACGAAGCTGCACCTGTTGTTCCGCTGTTGTATTTGGAAATTAGCAGCAGTATTTTGATCGTTTTCTCTTCACCTTCTAGTCTTTCTATTTATGAGGTCACAGTGAGTCCCCTCTCAAGGACACGTGTTCACCATGGGCTTAAACTTGATGAAAGGAGCAAGGAAAGGTCTTTTATAGGTTATTGGGGTGATGTTTGGTCCTTTGATGCTCTGGGTGTACCAGGGGACCCCCGCCACCTGGAACCGGATTCTGTCTACCTGTAGGCACCTGAGAAAAATCGGTGATGGAGAAGCTCACCTCTAATGATTCATCTCTGTGTCTCCTAGTAAAATTGCTGAGGAAGTTCCTTCCTGGTGGATTGGAACAGCTTGGTGATTGCTGAGCATCTCCTGTCCCTCTTTTCCAGTTTGTATTTCTTATCTGGGAAGATTCTACCAGGACCTCAAAGACAGAGATGTCACATTCACACCAGCCACTATTGAAAACGAACTTATAAAGTTCTGCCGGGAAGCAAGAGGCAAAGAGAATCGGTTGGTGAGTAGCTGGTGACTCCCTCCCCCCAGGTGGCCCTGGCTCATGTTAACCCTCTCATCAGCCTTTAGATAAAAGGCCTTGCCCACCTCTCTATTCAGGAAGCTAATAGCTCTCTCGATAAACTAATGTGAGACTGAAATGCTTTTATGTCCTTCCCCAAGCAGGCATATATTCTGCAACTGTGATTTTTTTTTTAATCCTGTTAGTATTAAGGACCTACTATGTGCTGGGCATTCGGAATATCAGAGGAGAAAGTGACAATCGGGCAAACAAATAATGCAGTGGCTGGGTGTCATGAAGAAAATAGACCAGGAGGTGCTGAATTAGAGTGGCCAAGAAGTCTCTCTGAGGAAGGGTTATTGAAGTGGGGTAAGAGCAACCCAGACAGAGAACAGCAGTGTGAGTGCCCAGAGACCAGAAGGAGTTTGGTGTGTATGCGGACAGGAGAAGGTGGCAGGGTGCCCACAGGATAGGCAAGGGCCAAATCCAAGACGAGCCCTAGTGAAGCAATGGCTTTTCTAACTAATTTCCCTGACAGTCTCTGGTTTGTCTCTGTTAAAGGTTTGAACCCTGGTGACACTTAACATTTGGTGGCTGTCAGCTCAGTCTGAGCATGTGTTAACAGTCCAGGGTTGGCTGGGCACGATGACTCATGCCTGTAACCACAGCAATTTGGGAGGCCAAGGCAGGCAGATCACGAGGTCAGGAGATCGAGACCATCCTGGTCAACATGGTGAAACCCCGTCTCTACTAAAAATACAAAAAAATTAGCTGGGCCTGATGGCACGTGCCTGTAATCCCAGCTATTCGGGCGGCTGAGGCAGGAGAATTGCTTGAACCCAGGAGGAGGAGGTTGCAGTGAGCCGAGATCGCGCCACTGCATACAGCCTGGGCAACAGTGCAAAACTCTTGTCTCAAAAAAAAAAAAAAAAAAAGAATCCAGGGTTTACACTGACTGAATCTGACTACCAATACAGGCAGGGCACCAAAAAGTAAGGCTGTGGGCCAGGTGCAGTGGCTCATGCCTGTTATCCTAGGCACCTTAGGAGGCCACAGTGGGAGGATTGCTTGAGCTTAGGGTAATCAGCCTGGGCAACGTGGTGAGATCCTATCTCTAAAGAAAAACTTTTAGGCTAGGCGTAGTAGTTCACACCTGTAATCCCACCACTAAGGCAGGTGGATCACCTGAGGTCAGGAGTTCAAGACCAACCTGGCCAACATGGCAAAACCCCATCTCTAAAAAATTCAAAAATTAGCCAGGTGTGGTGGTGGGTGCCTGTAATCCCAGCTACTTGGGAGGCTGAGGCAGGGAGAATTGCTTGAACCCGGGAGGTGGAGGTTGTAGTGAGCCAAGATCATGCCACTGCACTCCAGCCTGGGTGACAGCAAAACTAAAACAAAAAAAATTTTTTAATTAGCTGGGCATGGTGGCCCACACCAGTAAACCCAGCCAACATGGAGGCTGAGTGGGGAGGATCACCATGCAGGAGGTTGAAGCTGCAGGAAGCCATGATGGTACCACTGCATTCCAGCCTGGGCAACAGGGAGACCCTGTCTCAAAAAAAAAAAAAAAAAAAAAAAAAAAAAAAAAAAAAAAAAAAGGCCCTGGCAGGGAGATGATGTTTGAAGGTGTCAGTGTGTTTGGAGGCGATGGCTCTCAAGCAGCACCTCCTGAAGGCATTGTCCTTTCTTGCTGCAGTGCTACTATATTGGGGCCACAGATGATGCAGCCACCAAAATAATCAATGAGGTATCAAAGCCTCTGGCCCACCACATCCCTGTGGAGAAGATCTGTGAGAAGCTTAAGAAGAAGGACAGCCAGATCTGTGAGCTAAAGTATGGTGAGTATGGCCAGTCCTTATTTAACACATGTTGTGCACCTGCTGGGTTTATTTCCCTTCTGGGAGAGGAAGGTGATGAGCTAGAGTCATGAGTGGATTGTATCATATGACAGGTGGTGCTAAATGCTGAAGGGCTCAGGCATGGAAGTGGGTGGAGGTCAGAATAGGCCTCATTGAGGATGTGACATTTCAGCAAACTTTGAAGGAGGTGAGGATTAGCCAAGAGGCCAGCTAATAGAAGAGCATTCCAGGCAAAGGATACAGGCAGAATAAAGGTGGCCAGTGGCTTGGCAAGTCAGAGAGTCTTGCAGGTTGGGGAGGGCTTTTAATCTGAGTGAAGTTAGGAGCATTAGGAGTTTTTGAGCAGAGGCGGGACGTGGTACGCCTTGGGTTTAACAGGCTAGTCCTGGCTGCAAGCTCTGAAGGCCCAGTGATCTTCAAGATTCTGAAAAGAAATGCTGTGTCCAAGCATGCAAGCCCAGCAGTTGGAACTCCAGCATCGCTCTTGCTGACTCAGACTCTGGTTTTACTTAGTCCCAGTCCAGAAACAGTCAGGGCCTCTTCTGTAAAACTTAACAGTATTGATGTTTTATTATGACTTGAATGGCCAAGGACCTGTGTTCACCCACTTGTGCCTTCTGAGAGTCATCCTGATATAGGTCCAGTTGGCTCCAAGTCACTGTGATCATGGAGAGTAAGTTCCTAACTCAAGGGCCTGAGCAGGGCCACTCTGTCACCAGCCTGGCACTGTTAGTAGTCTGTGGTGACTATGTCAGAGGCACTTGGAAGATGGGAACCACGTTTCTCCTGTAAAAACAGTGCGGCCTCTGTCCCTGTCTTTGTCCACACTGCCTATCTGTAGTGGAAACTGACAACATGAGGCCAGACTTCCTGGTGAGGAAGCTAGTTCTCTCTTTCAGGGGCAGTAGGCACTGACACGCCTATAAATGTGTCTGGAAATGTCTCTTCCTCTACAACCAGTAGGGCCGGTTTGGCCATGCAGGGAATGATCTATTGAGACGACTGGGGGACTGCAGCTGCTCCCACCGAGTCAGTGACTCTCCCTGCTCTCTCCTCCAGACAAGCAGATCGACCTGAGCACAGTGGACCTGAAGAAGCTCCGAGTTAAAGAGCTGAAGAAGATTCTGGATGACTGGGGGGAAACATGCAAAGGCTGTGCAGAAAAGTCTGACTACATCCGGACGATAAATGAACTGATGCCTAAATATGCCCCCAAGGCAGCCAGTGCACGGACTGATTTGTAGTCTGCTCAATCTCTGTTGCACCTGAGGGGGAAAAAAACAGTTCAACTGTTTGTTTGTTCCCAAAACAGCCTTTTTGTAATTTATTTTTTAAGTGGGCTCCTGACAATACGGGATCAGATGTGAAGCCTGGAGCTTTCCTGATGATGCTGGCTCTACAGTACCCTAATGAGGGGCTTCCCTTCCTTCTGTTGCTGGTATACTCAAGGACTTCAAAGTGTGTCTGGGATTTTTTTATTAAAGGAAAAAAAATTTCTAGCTGTTCTTGGAGAATTAAAGTGAGTACTGAAATAGGGTTTTGCTCCATGAGGATCCTACCAGTTTATGCTTTCCAGTTTCAGGGTTTTGGGGGATATTCATTCCCATTTGTCCCTCAACCCACCAGTGCTGAAAATACCAGGTGCAAGACATGCGGGCTGGGGCCAGCCGACACCATCGGTGTATGCCACTAGAGGGCAGCAGGCACCTCAGCAAAAAGGAGCCTGAGGCAGGGCTGGGCTTGATAACCTGCCCCTTGATACAGTGTCTATCTTACCCACAAGAGAACTGGGGGCCACACACACTCTAGGAGGAGTGAGTCTGGGATACATTAGAGGGCCTTACACTGGGGCTCAGTACAAGCAAGACGGTGTGAAGTGGGGTTTCCTGCAAGAATGGCTTCAGTAACTGCATATCAGTGCTGACATCTCTAAAGATGCTGTTGGCCTGGCCACCTAGTTGCTCTTTTGGGCTCATGGTCTACTGTCCATCCCAAGCTTCTGATGTCTTTCAGTTTTCACAAGACTGGCAAAAAAGAGGGGGTGGGAAGCTGCTTTTTGCCTTTTGTTTACCCTAAATTAATAGTTGAGGTCCAGGGCTTTTCTGGAGTGCTTCCTAAGCTGCTCTCTGTGGCGTTGGTGCTTAGGAAACCCAGGTGTTAGTGTGACCCTTGGCTCAATTAACATGCCTGTAGACACCACCTGAAAGGAGGACTAAGAACCAGTGCTCTCCACGGAACTGCTCTTGCTTCAGAGGGCTTCGCTTGCGTCTCCTAAGCTCAGTTTGCCTCTAGGAGGCCTTACAGCCTACCGTGGAGCTTGTTTTCTTCCAAGACCTTTCCCCCTGCACCTGCCTGAGCTGCTTTCTCACTGTGGGAAGAGGGGAAGACTTAGTGTGCTCTTCCGCATCGCAAGGATTCTGTGCCAGAAATTGGGTCAGGTTCTACCATGGCTGTAACAACTGTCCTTGGAGAATGAAAGCTTCCTCAATGGGCTCGGGCACCCTTTCCCTCACCTCACGTGGAGAGAAGAGGTCCTCCTGAAGCTGAACCGGCCAGCGAGGAGTCAGCGTGGCAAGCTGTGATAACTGTTACTATCTATGCATTTGGCCTCTTCATCCTTGGCTCCTGTGGCTCTACCTTTCCAGCCTGCTGTCTGCCCAGATGCCCACAGAAGAGGGTGGGACCAAAGAGTGGCGTTAAAGAGTCTATTCCAACTCCATCAACTGCAGCTGCAGGCTTGTCTCTGCTTTCGGTTATTACCTACATTACAACCACGGTCCTCATGGTCTTTTTGGGGACTGCAGCAGGTGAACTTACACGTGGAGGATACCCGGAATGTGGACCTTGGGTCCTAGACAGGGCCTAGGGATAGGCATGCATTTGTCCTTGGGGCAGTTACCCCGGACCCCAGGCAGAAGATGCCAAGGAGGGTGATACAGGGCTTTGCTCAAGCCTAGTCCTGGGACTGAAGGGATACTACATAGACACCACTGACTGGGTCAATGCCCCAGACCCCGACGCCCACAGAAGCTGCCACTCCTTCCTGTTCCAATGAGCGCGGGCTCCAACGCCTGCGGGAGGAGGTAGCTGAACCCAGAGCGGCGAAGCATGCCTGGGAGCACAAAGCGTTAGGTCGTTCTGCGTACCTCTCAGGGTTCCCTTCACTTCGCGTAGCCTCAACCGTCGCCCATGTGAGCCGCGCAGTGGCGCAAGAGCGAGCGGCCCTTGCCCACTCACCTGGCGCTCACGGGGTCACGTGGCACTGGGCGACGCAGCACGGCGACGCAGCACGATGACGCAGCCCGACTCGTGTCTCGCCCCGCCCGCCGCAGAGTCACGTGGCGCGGTCGGCGCAACTTGATAACGTAATGCCCGGCTCCTCGGCGCCGCTCCCGCCCCGCCCCGTCGCCGCCGCCGCGCCGAGTCCTTTTGTCCAAGATGGCGGCGCCGGGGGCGCTTCCTCCTCGGCCGCCGCCGCTGCCGCCGCTGTGAGAAACCTACGGGCCGCCCGCCCGCCACGCCAGCGCCATGAAGCGGCAGAGCGAGCGAGACTCTAGCCCGAGCGGGCGCGGCTCGTCATCGTCGGCAAAGCGTCCGCGGGAGCGCGAACGGGAGGCGGAGGCGGGCGGGCGGCGGGCGGCGCACAAGGCCTCTGGCGGCGCCAAGCACCCGGTTTCAGCGCGGGCCCGCGACAAACCCCGCGGCAGCGGAAGCGGCGGGGGCGGGCATCGTGACAGCCGCGGCGCCGGGGATGCTAATCACCGTGCGAGCAGCGGCCGCTCCTCGGGCTCTGGCGCTGGCGGCGGGGGACGCGGCGGGAAGGCCTCGGGGGACCCGGGCGCCTCCGGCTTGTCGCCCCGCGCGTCTCCGCTGCCGCCGCCTCCGCCACCGCCTGGGGCCGAGCCCACGGGTCCCGGCTCTTCCGCGGCTGCACCTGAGTACAAGACGCTACTCATCAGCAGCCTGAGCCCAGCGCTGCCCGCCGAGCACCTCGAGGACAGGCTCTTCCACCAGTTCAAGCGTTTCGGCGAGATCAGCCTCCGCCTGTCGCACACGCCTGAGCTGGGCCGTGTGGCCTACGTGAACTTTCGGCATCCACAGGACGCGCGCGAGGCCCGCCAGCACGCCCTGGCCCGCCAGCTGCTGCTCTACGATCGCCCGCTTAAGGTAGAGCCCGTGTACCTGCGCGGCGGCGGCGGCGGGAGCAGCCGGCGAAGCAGCAGCAGCAGCGCCGCCGCTTCCACGCCTCCCCCAGGGCCCCCCGCGCCCGCCGACCCGCTCGGCTACCTGCCGCTGCATGGAGGCTACCAGTACAAGCAGCGCTCGCTGTCCCCCGTCGCTGCCCCGCCCCTGCGAGAGCCCCGCGCCCGCCACGCCGCCGCAGCCTTTGCCCTGGATGCCGCCGCCGCCGCCGCCGCCGTGGGACTGTCCCGTGAGCGGGCCCTGGACTACTACGGGCTGTACGACGATCGTGGGCGCCCCTATGGCTACCCAGCTGTGTGCGAGGAGGACCTGATGCCCGAGGACGACCAGCGGGCCACGCGAAACCTATTCATCGGGAACCTGGACCACAGCGTATCTGAGGTGGAGCTGCGACGAGCCTTCGAGAAATACGGCATCATCGAGGAGGTGGTTATCAAGAGGCCTGCCCGTGGCCAGGGCGGTGCCTATGCCTTTCTCAAGTTCCAAAACCTGGATATGGCCCATAGGGCCAAGGTGGCCATGTCAGGCCGAGTGATTGGTCGCAACCCCATTAAGATAGGCTATGGCAAGGCCAACCCCACCACCCGTCTGTGGGTGGGCGGCCTGGGACCTAACACCTCACTGGCGGCTCTGGCCCGGGAGTTTGACCGCTTTGGGAGCATTCGGACCATTGATCACGTCAAAGGAGATAGCTTTGCCTATATCCAGTACGAGAGCTTGGACGCAGCCCAGGCCGCCTGTGCTAAAATGAGGGGCTTTCCCTTGGGTGGACCAGACCGAAGGCTCCGCGTGGATTTTGCCAAAGCAGAGGAGACACGGTACCCCCAGCAGTACCAGCCCTCGCCGCTCCCTGTGCATTATGAGCTGCTAACAGATGGATATACCCGGCACCGCAACCTGGACGCCGACCTGGTGCGGGACAGGACGCCCCCCCACCTCTTGTACTCAGACCGAGACCGGACCTTTTTAGAAGGGGACTGGACCAGCCCCAGTAAAAGCTCCGACCGCCGAAACAGCCTTGAGGGCTACAGTCGCTCAGTGCGCAGCCGGAGTGGTGAGCGTTGGGGGGGAGATGGGGACCGTGGTTTGCCCAAGCCCTGGGAAGAGAGGCGGAAACGGAGGAGCCTTTCCAGTGACCGTGGGAGATCAACTCACTCCCCGTATGAGGAACGGAGCAGGACCAAGGGCAGTGGGCAGCAGTCAGAGCGGGGCTCCGACCGCACCCCTGAGCGCAGCCGCAAGGAGAACCACTCCAGTGAAGGGACCAAGGAGTGCAGCAGCAACTCCCTCAGCAACAGCAGACATGGAGCTGAGGAACGGGGCCACCATCACCACCACCACGAGGCTGCAGACTCTTCCCACGGGAAGAAGGCAAGAGACAGCGAGCGCAATCACCGGACCACGGAGGCCGACCCCAAGCCTCTCGAAGAGCCAAAACATGAGACCAAAAAGCTGAAGAATCTTTCAGATTACGCTCAGACGCTACAGCTGGGTTGGAATGGGCTTTTGGTGTTGAAAAACAGCTGCTTCCCCACATCTATGCACATTTTAGAGGGGGATCAGGGGGTGATCAGCAGTCTCCTCAAAGACCACACTTCTGGGAGCAAGCTGACTCAGCTGAAGATCGCCCAGCGCCTTCGACTGGACCAACCCAAGCTCGACGAGGTCACGCGACGCATCAAGCAGGGGAGCCCCAACGGCTATGCAGTCCTTTTAGCCACCCAGGCAACCCCCAGTGGGCTTGGCACTGAGGGGATGCCCACAGTGGAGCCAGGTCTGCAGAGGCGGCTTCTCAGGAACCTGGTCTCCTACTTGAAACAGAAGCAGGCCGCAGGGGTGATCAGCCTGCCAGTTGGGGGGTCCAAGGGCAGAGACGGCACAGGCATGCTCTATGCCTTTCCGCCCTGCGAGTTTTCCCAGCAGTACCTCCAGTCAGCACTAAGGACATTGGGTAAGCTAGAAGAAGAACACATGGTAATAGTCATCGTCAGAGACACTGTCTAGCCCAAGCCTTTCTTGGCGTCATGTTTGTGTCACAAAAGCAGTTATTATTTTAAAATCTGATCCCCTCTCTACCCTACCAATTTGAATTCTCTCCTGGGTTATTTTGGTTCATTTGGGTGGGGATCAAGGTCCTTTCCACCATCAAAACTAACGTTCTTAGGTTTTGGGGGATTTTTTTTTTTTAAACAATGAGAAGGGACTCGTTATGTTTATTTCTAGTGTACAAGATACTGTCTGCTGTGATTCTGTATTTTTTTATTTTTTGACCAACTGTATGGAAAGTTGTCAGTAAAGCCTTTGTCAGAGGATGGATTTTTAAACCTGTTCAG